TAGTATTTCCTCTTTATAAGAGTGACACTGGAATAATGTTTACATTGTGTATTCTTATTTGAATTAGGCAATTACTAATTTTTTTTTTTTAAATCAGAGTTAACTCCTGCTTCCATCTGTATACCTGTCCATTTTCATGCTTGTTTGCTTGTAAATGCTCTTTGCAGTGGTAATGTGGGCATCATTCATTGTTCCTAAATGCTACTAATGATGCCAGAGCTCTGCTGATCCTGGAAACCTCTGCATGGATTTGCTGCAAACATTGTTGATTTGAAACTATTTCTGATTTTTTACTAATTCCAGTTTCTTTCCTCTTCTTTTTTATCCCATCCTTTCCCTGCCCCTTCCACTCCCGTATCCTTTTTTTCTCTCCCTCATAGACCACATAGCACACATCATAGAGCTGCTAGGCAATATCCCAAGGCACTTTGCTCTATCTGGAAAATATTCTCGGGAATTCTTCAATCGCAGAGGTAGTACCTCTTCTTTTTGAAAGGTGCCGTGATGCAGACAGAAGTGGAATTGCTGTTGCTGGTTATAGCATGTCCCAGTGAGGAGCATTTCCTGAAACCATACAACAAAATTTTCTTTTTGAAAAGCAAAATGCGCAGGAATCTCTGACAAATTTTTTATTTTTTTAGCCACGTGTTCTGAAAAATAACTATTGGTACATTCTAAATTACGTGGCAAAACTTGTTTGTGGCAGCTGATACTCAAACGATGTTTTGAGAAGGAAGTTTTTCTGAAAGAATCTTTCCAAAGTAGCCACTGAGCAAGCAGTGTGCACGTGTGGTTTTTACCAGGATCAATCTATTTCTGTCTGTACCGGGCCAGTGTTAGTGTGTGCATGCAATGTACTGATTAAACTGTTGTATGTTTCTGTTTTGCTGGCAATGTTCTCCAATGCAGACCACATAGCATTGATCATTGAACTGCTGGGAAAAATCCCTCGAAAATACGCTATGTTGGGGAAATATTCCAAGGAGTTTTTCACCAAAAAAGGTAACGGTATTTATGCAACACTAATTTAAAGCATAATGCTATCCAAAAGGAGAATATGTTCATTTATGGGTACTGAAGAAATATATCCGTTTAAATGGAGAGCTCTTATTGAAGAAGAATTTTGGTGTAAACTTGGCTTTCTGAGAAAAGCCACAATTTTCAGTATTCATTTCAGTATTTCATTTAAAATTCATTTTGGGAAGTGCTCAACAAAGTGTGGATGTTAACAAGTGTCTGTGTGAATCTGTTGTCTGATGTTTGTGCAAATGTGAGGACTTTGCGTAGTTTGTAATGTGATGGAAAATCCTCTGTCAGCAACTTTAGATCATACGTGGTGGTCCAGCAGGTGCTGGTAAGAAATGGGAAGGGAATACTCGGGCAGTGGATACTCGGGCAGTGGATACTCGGCTGCGTGCAGTCGGTCTCACAGGAGCAGGCAGGGCAGGGGGCTTCTTTGACACGTGAGGGAATGCGGTGATGCCTCAAGCATCTTTTGTCCCCTCGGTGTATGAGACAGCACTGTGCTGTATCGAGGGACAGGGTGTGTATGAAGCATCCTCCTACATGGCTGGGGGAAGATCTGGGGCTATCAGCTGCAGCTTGTGAGTGCTTTCCTGCTGGACAGGATTCCCTCTTGCCCGTGACTCCGCAGACCTGAGCGCAGCTCGTTGGCAGGGCCGGCGCTGGTCAACCAGTGGCATCGGACACGTGGGGTGCTGGGGGGCTGAGGGGCAGTGCTGGGCTGCAGCAGCTTGGGGTCATGAGGCAGGACAAGATCCAGTGATTGATCCTCCCTTGTAGAAGAGCTGCCTGTTCTGTGCGTGGATATTTCTGGTCTGGCAGGGACCTCTGCAGCCTTGGTGTCCTCAAGGAGGCTGTTAATGGTGTTAGGCACAGTGCAGAGAAGGGCAGCAGTGATGATGTAGGAGAGAGCAGCTGCCCTTTAGGGGAGTCTGAAGTGCATGGGGCTTTTTAGTGTGGAGCGGAGAAGGCTGCTGGAGGAATTGTCGAGGTTTTCGTAACTGGGAATTCAGTGGATAAGCTGTTTGCCAGCACCCACCGCGTTAGAGCTGGGGGAAACCCAGTGAAATTTAGAGGGGGTGGCTTTAAAACAAGCACTTCCCTATTCAGCAGGCAGTAAGCTTCAGGAGCTGCTGCAGGGGGCAGAGGGAGAGGCTGTTATCAACAAGCTTAAAACAATCTCCTGTTAACCGAGATGAACAAACTCAAGGCCCACAGGCACCCCCAGCCAAGGAGTGCGGCTGCTGGAGTGAGGCAGGGCCTGCAGAAGGGCTCCTCTGCCAGCCCTCACTGCCCCTTCCTGTTTGTCAGAGGCTGCGACTAAATTAGTAAGACCCTCCCCAGCCTGACCCTCCCTTAAAGTGTACCATGTTCCTAATTTTCACCTTACAGCAGATGGGTTGGCATTTTCTAGTGATGTCACAGAACCGTAAAATGACCAGTTATTCAGTAACTGCAGTGTTGGCAGTGCACAGAAGAAGGCAGTTTGTAAAATTCCTGTGAAGTGGAGAGTTTCTCCTGCTTCCATGAGCATCTTCAACTGCAGACTGTCTCTGTTGTCCTCTAGGGCCTGAACTTCAGTGACATTCCTCAGAGGCACTGAGGGTGCCTCTTGAATCCTTCAGGGTGGGATTTAAGCACCTTAAAAGGCTTGGGTTCACCCACCATACAAAACATAAGTGCAAGTTTGCTATGGAAGATTAAGTAGACTAGATTCAACCTGTTTCTGCTCAAACCAGAAAATCTCAAATGCAAGACAAAGGAGTAATAGCCTAAGCTCCATTTTCAGATCATCCCAGTTATTCTGCTATTGCAGGCTGGGAAAACTAAAGTGCTTTGTGAAGGAATAACAGAGGTAGCAGGTTTCCTGCTCACTTGAGCATCTTTTCTTTGAATTGGGCACGAGGTATCCTTTTCCTTTTCCCTGCCATCCCAGTACTGCCAGCCTCCGGTGCCCTCAGGAGGGATTTGCATGTGGTGGGCTGGCAGAGATAGGCCAGCAAGCTGATGCATTTTGTATTCATCTGCTTGTGGCCTGAGCACTGGAGATCAGAAGCCCTGTGGCACAGGCGTGAGGATCTTCAGAGAATTCTCTTTGTGGTGTAAAGGTGGGCTTAAAAAACTTGCTGTAGGCCCCTGTTTTGAAAACATCAGCCTCGGGGGAAAATAAAAAAAATCATGATTTTTGCTGCTGTCCATAAGTTTGACCTCAGAGAGAAGCTTTAAGCATTTCAGTTGAGCCACTGAAGTCACAGGCACAAAAAGAAAGGTGTTAGGAACTAATGAGTTTACAGGATCCAGCCACTTCTCAGTAATTGACTGAAGCAGTTTGTGACATTCAAACTGGAGGGTGCGTTTTAAAAAGGAAAAGCATTTGCAAGTCACTTCTTAGTCACTATAACACAAATGCTCATATACTTTTTATAGGGTCTGATCTTGATTGAGCCCAGTAATAACTCTAGGGAGTCCTTTTCTGCAGTGTCTTCATGGCAGTTATTTTGACTGTAAAAATGATTAATACATTTTGACATTAAAACTTGAAACGCTTTTATTTTTCTTCTAGTATTTGCTAACTCTGTTTCCTTGTGAGCTAAACCTGTGCAAGATGCTGGCCAGGTGCTGGCTTTGCCTTTTGAAAGATGTAACAAAGAGAAGTACTGCTGCTCATTTACTATCCTGGAAGGGAAGGGGAGGGCTCCTCTCCACCTCCCTCGCTTCCATCTGCTGTACTGGGAGACCTTTCCAGCAGTCCTTGTGTTAGTTCTGGGGACCATGTCATATGTACATAGCAGCAGAATATATCCCACTGCTGCTTCCCCAGTCCTTCATGTCATCCATGTCTTACTGTTCAATAATCCGTCCTCCTCTTGCCTGGTGACACATCTTAAATTTGTCTTTGGCAAATTTCATAGACTAGTTCTGGTTTTTTGTGTTATCGTCAGCAGAGAGAGCTTTAAATAGGATCTCCCCCCCAAGTCCTCCAGCAATTTTTTTAGCGATTTCCTTCTGACTTAACATTGCACTTTTCAGAGGGATCATTGCTGCCTCTGCTTTGGCAACAGAGTTTTTACAGCTCTGACAGCTCTGTTGTCCTCTGCAGATTATTTCCCGTGTGCTTCACTATAAAAAATCTAAATAAAGAGCTTCTGCTAGGAAGATCTCACTTAGTATTACATTTTTAGCATTTCTTTGAAAATTCATGGTAATGCCCTGAATACGGATGGTATCAGACTGGTGGGGCCTGTGCTTTTAATTTCTCCCTTAAATACAGGTACAGGCTTGCTCTCCTCACCCCGCCTCATTAAATAGATGAAAGTACATGTTGGCAGACACCTCCATTTTCTGTGCTGCTCTCTTCCGCTTCAGGATGGAAATGAAAAGGACCCACCACATGAAAATTAATTCTTAGGGTGTTTTGTCCACCTCAGTTGTGTTAATTGTCTTTTACTTACCCTATTTTGATTCCATGGTCAGCATCATGATTCTTATTGAAAACTGAAGCACTAGTTTAATTTTTGGCCCCTACACATCATTTTTACTGTATCCTACCTTCTTAAACGCTTTTACAATCCTCATAGAATTTCTTGTGGAAAACTTGAGTCCACAGTGCTAAAATAGTTCCTTCCTCAGCAGAAAAACTCTACAGAATATTGTGCTGGTCTTAGTGTGAGCATTTACAAAATAAGGAGTACTCAAACAGCATGAACTTGCCTTCCACAGTGACATCAGGAGCCTCATCATGCAGTCTTACCTTACCAAATCTGAGGGAGGAAAGATGCTGGAAACAATATAATGGGAAACAATATAATGCAGAGAGGAAGACAGTGCTGCATGGAAACACACACCCTCCCCCAGAGATAGCCTAGTTTGGTAAATGATTGCGACAACCCTTGCAATGATTGTTGTCAGCTGGGGAAGCCATGGACACAGCCTGATTTTTTTTTTTTTTTTTAGTAAATTTTTGCTTGCACTCAATAATAAGTCACTGTTTTCTATTGCTTTTAGGCAGTATTTGAGTCTGTGCTTACATAATTTACTACCTGTTCTTATAAGTAGTCACCAGTAGTCTTACCTTTTGGAAACCTTCCAAAAGGTAAGATTTTCAGCAGTTAAGTTTCAGAGTTGCACAAAGATTTAAAGGGCTGAGAGTGAGGCTGGAAATGAATATGCTGCTCTGAGATGTACTGTCCTTCCTGTACGTTCATACTGTGGGACAGTTGTGGGCCCAAAGTGGAGCCTTTTTGTGTTTGACTGGCAGGTACTGATGGGACACATTTGTGCTGTAAATGTTCAGACATAAAACAGGAGAACGCAGCCTCTGCTTACAGTCCCCTCTCAGAAACCCTGCTGCCCTGTGAGATGGAAAGAGGACAGTGGGCCAGCTGTGGGTAGCACATCCTGAGTTTCTCTTACCAGCAGGATTTTTGTTCACTTGCAAGTGATGGATCATTTGCAGACTTGCACTTTTGGGGACCTGGTGACAGGGGCTGGAGAGCTGCCTTTTCAGGCACCTTACCCTGTAGGACCTTCTGCTGAGGGCTGAGCCAGCAGATATGTGGCCTGCTGAGCCTTTGGGGGTTTTGTTCCATTGCACTGAGATGCTCAGACTCTTGGGCAGTCTGACACAGGTTTCTTCTCCTGCCCTGGAACTTCTCTAGCCACAGGGATGTACAGAGACTCTGACTGCGAGCTGATGTCTGATAGCATTTTATGGGCAGTAGGTTACAGCCACGCATAACCACCAAGCTGGCAGACCACTTTGCTTAAATACAGTATGGCCTGCATGCCCCCTTACCAGATGGCATAGTGAGCTTGTGAAGATGTGGAGGAGCCATGTTCAGCCTCCCGTTGTGGGTGAGACCCCATCACTCTCCTCAGCAGTTCAGGGGACATTGCAGAAACACCACAGGGTAACCTGGTACCATGGTTATTACCAGGATAACCTGGTAATCCATGGTAATCCCTTCATCACATATCTCATGGTCCATCTCATGGCTTTAGGCCTCAAGTTTTTTGCTGTGTCACGTGGAGACTGTCTGGGTCAGACATACGCCTGAGAAGAAGGGAGATGGCCATGGCTTGCCTTAAGAGTATAGAAATATGTCAGAAAACAACTGCCCTTGTGTTCCATCTGGTCCTCAGAGATCAGAGGGCTGGGTGCAGCTGGGATTTGTTACTGCTTAGAACAGATCAGGCGCTCTTAAGTCTGGTTGTGTTCAGTAAGAACTTTCACAAATGCAGATTTGTGACAAGTATAGTTTATTGAAACAACAAGCTATAGGTTGTTGTGAGATTGCTGGTGATAAATGTACTAGATGTACAAAATATAAGTGTATAGCAAGCACTGCGTACAAGTGTTCCTGGGTATGCTCCAACACAGTCAGAAGCACAAATCTTAGTAGACGGGTGTCTCTGCTTTGGGATAGAGAGATGAGCGAGCCCATTGACTTGTCTCATCCTCCTCACAGAGGATTTCAAATGTCAGATTGATCCTTTTGGTAGAAGTGGAGGCGATACCATAGTCAAATTCCCTGCTATTGCCATCATAAATGGTGGGGGGGCAGCCATGTCATACGTAAACAAGGGATATCAAGAGCCTCAATTACAAAGGCTGCGGGTCTTGCACAAAGTGACACCTCAGTCCCTCTTCCACCCAGCTGATTGCAGCAGTAAGGGTCATCTGGCCTGATAACCTGGTAATCCATGGTAATCCTTTCATCACATACCTCATGGTCCATCTCATGGCTTTAGGCCTCATTCCTACGCAGTGAAGGAGCAGGAAACTGAAGAGTCTTCCCCATCATGCCAGATGAGCTGTGGGCAGACCTGGGTAATACTGCTGGTTTTAATGGCAGACAGGTGCTCGCCTCTGCTTTGGTCTGAGACACGTTGCCAGGTTGGCCAGATGTACAACTCCCCCCCTCTGTGAGAACTCAGATCCTGCAGCTGCTGCCACCACTTGTCTCAGTGGTTGGTTGAAGGAGACGTGGGCAGCAGCAGGTGCTTCCTTCTCAGGAAGGATTCAGACCAAGCCTCCTGGGGGTGTTTACCTGGGAGACGGAGCAGAATCCCTGAGTGCCAAACCTCCCTGCTCTGCTTGGTTAGGAATGAATCGCTGCTCTGCTGCATTGTTGGCAAGTACCATGGAGCAAGGCCTGTGTTTCTGAGACTTCTGTCATGGGATCGGAGCAGATTTTGTAAAACTTGGGTTCACTGGCTGATGAAGAAGGAAAGGCCTGCAGTGTTCTTTGCCCACAGTGTGAGCCTGTGTATGAGTCTGTTGTGTGTGGGAGAGTGGAGACAGCAGGAAACATCAGTGGAGTCCAGGTATAACGTGCTGTCTGCTGTAGGAATGGTTTCTTGGTTTTGACATCGGACATATTCGTCTCCTTTGAGGACCTCAAGCTTGCTGTGTGCTGTCCTTCATCAGCAATGAGTCTCAGCCTGGTCAAGGTGCTGTGAATGCAGAGTGGGAGAAAAACGAAACAGGGATTAGTCACTAACAGGGATAATGAGGTGTTTTTTTAATGCCATTCATCTTTCTGTTTGCAGGAGAACTCCGACACATTACCAAGCTGAAACCTTGGAGTCTTTTTGATGTGCTTGTGGAGAAGTACGGTTGGCCTCATGAAGATGCTGCACAGTTTACAGATTTCCTGATCCCCATGCTAGAAATGGTCCCAGAGAAACGCGCTTCAGCTGGAGAATGCCTTAGGCATCCATGGCTGAATTCTTAGCAGAAATCTCCCAGCTGTAAAATAAAAGCCAGCAACCACTTTCCAATGCGTTGGACCTAAATGGTGACTGTCACAAAATCTTTAGCAGGATCACACGTGAGCTGGCTTCAATCCTCAGACCTTTATTTTGCTTGAGGTACTGTTTGACATTTTGCTTTTTGTGCACTGTGTTCTTGGGGAAGGGTAGTCTTTTTGTCTTCAGCTAGTAGTTTACTCACCCACTTTCTTCAGAAAACACTTAACGTGTCTTTAAGCATTGTTTCTTGTGTTGTGTGACATTCAGATGTCAGATTTTTGAACAAAGGAAACTTCCCCCCATGTGTTTTGGCAAGTTTTGTAACTATTTATGAAAAAAAAAATATTTTAGCTGATGCATATTATATAATTTACGAGTGTAAGAAATTTATCAAGTCAGAATTGAGTTACAGTGAGGAATTGTACAATTTTATCTTCTGGCAAAGGGACATCATTCTTGTATTATAGTGTATGTAAATGCACCCTGTAAATGTTTATTTCCATTTAAATATGGGACTGGGGACTCAATTTCAGAGTAAAGCGACTTAAGTTTTAGAGAGCTTTATAGCAAACCAATTGCATGTAGTGGACTTTAAACTGCTTTAAGGAATTGTGTAAACTTTCTATTCTGTAGCAGTTCCCGTTCATTGGATTTTAAACAAAGTGGCTCTGGTTTACAGGATTTCATTCCCCAAATGGCACTTTAAAGGAAGGCTAGACTTCTTTCTAATAAAGTATGCATTATCATTTAGCACTCCCTTTTAGAACTTTTGCCTATTTTAAGTGCTTTTAAGAAAAGAAAAATAGCAATTTCCCTACAATGTGATAGTGAAGACATGGTACCATATGGTGTTGCCTTTTTATAAGCACTGTAAGTTGTACTATACCTTAAGAAAAAGAAAAAAAATTAAAAGTAGAGCATGAGAACCACTCTCTGTGTAGAATTACTGATCTTTTATAATAAAAGTGTGTGCTTGGCGTCAGTTAAGGAAGGATATAGCTGCAGATATTTACAGGGCAGTGGGTAAAATAATCCAAGAGGCGAGATCATGCTCATTCCATTCATAGCTTTACATGTTTCTAAAAGAAATTGCACTAGCTTTATTCTTTCCCATCCGTAGACATACGACTGCCCATTGTAAGTTGCACGCAACAATTACGTGTTTTCTAGGAAAGGCTGCATAGGCTGAAGCTTATAGGCAATACAGATTTTAGAATGTACAGTATGGAGGTGTGTTTGGGCCTCTTTTAGAAGTCAGTGGGATGAATGTAAGCTTACTCCTGATCTTCATGTAACTACAGTGCCACTTTTTTTCTTGACTTTGTCCATATGAAATTTATTCACATGCCTTTGCAATAACTAGATTGTGAGAAGATAGCCCCATGCTGTAACAATAACCAGTTGTTTGAGGTGCTTGCAGTTGTCTAATTAAAGTGTTTTGTTTTTTCAGACAGTGTTGCTGGTCATTGGAATCTTTGCCTAGCCACGACTCAGCTGCTGGGGTGGGGGGTGGGGGCTGGCATAGCCTGGCCAGAGAAATGCAGCTTCCTGTGTTCCTTTATGAAATACCCCCCCTGGTGTCAGTGAGAGCAGCCTGAGCAGGAGGGCTGGGAGTGGCTGTTGGGTGAAACCTGGCAAAAGCAAACAAGAGCCTTTCCTACCGGCTGTTTAACTCCTGTCACAAGCGAAGGGCTGGGGCAGCCACTCCTCCAGAGAACTGCCAAAGCCCCGGGTGGGAGAAACTCATCCAGTGCTGAGGCCCTGACAGCAATTGGGTTTCAGGACCACGTGCCTTCACCTGCATCCCTGGAACTGCTTCTAATGGCTGCAAGGACAACACTGGTGCGAAGGATGATGCCACAATGGACTTGAACTGGAGGTAAAAATTATGTTCAACTTCACAGCCAGCCTGGCCCCTGTAGTGCCCATTGCTGCACGTTAGAACCATGTTCTTGAATGCACAGAAAATGCTGGCACTGGATTAAAGTGCCAGGTTAAGCCAGGGCAGGCAAGTGAGCACAACAGGCACGGCTCTCCCCTCCAGCCTGGCCATGGCACTGCAGAAGCACTTGGGGCAGCGAGGCCTTGTCCCACTCTGCACCCCAGAGCAGCAGCTCCTTGTGCTGCACTTAAGACCTTGCCCTGCAGTGTGTTTTACACTCAGAATGATGCTGTCACTTCATGGAGGTGTGGAAGTGGGGGCAGACAACCAGTTCTGAATACTGAGCTCAAGAGGTTGATGTAGATTTTTTTCAAAAACAGTGATGAGCAACTCCAAGCTAGAGTGGGTTCAGTTTTTCTGCTGTTGATGGCCTAATCTTGTCCTACATCAGGCTAGTGCAAAACATAGCGCACTCCCCACAGTGTGTGTTCTGCAGAGCCAGCAGGTGTTCAGGAAAGCATTTCTAAGTGTGTGATTTTAACTAATAAAATTAATTAGAGGTAAATTAGAAATAAAAGTGGCCCCAGTCTTCGTCTACAGGTTAAAAAGAATTACCACTTTTTTCAGTGAGTAGGAGCAGCCACTTCCCCTCCTATCCCGTTTCAGGTTTCCTCCCACACTGGTTCTCCTCTCTGGTTCTGAGGTGGAGCCATTGAGCACCGTCCTGTTATGTGAGCAGAATTGAGAGCAGTTACTGCTGAGATAGAAGGACACTGTCACACACCCATTACAGAATAACTGCACCCATAAGCACTACAGCAGCTGCTGCTCTTCTGCTGCAGGAAAAAACCACTGCCCTTAAAAAACCAAAGTGCTACACAGTTTGTAACATTCTGTGCCCCCCTGCAGCATCACACACTCAACTCCTCAAAGTCTGCACCAACAGCAGGGCCTGAAGAGCTACAAAAAGGGAAAGAGGAACTACAATGAACTACAGCTGCAGGTGGCTCCACGGCTGTAACCAAGGTCAGAACACCTCTAGCACACAACACTGTACCACATCACTGCCCCTGATTAACATCAGTAAACTGACCCAAGACCCTGCTGTGCCTTGGGGGGATTCTTCCTCAACCTCCTTCCTCCAGCCTGTTCCACATCTGTCTGTGCTACAGAAGTAAAGCCACAGCTGGAAACTGCAGGGAAGTGAACAGCCTCGCAGGGAGCAGAGGGGGCGTTCCACAGACCTAAGGCCACTTCCCTGCTGACATACCACCCTTTCAGGACAAGTAGTTAAAACTGACATAATTGTGATTTATTAACATGAATTAAAATGCCCAACCAGTGCTGCAATGTGACAGTATATTAAAAAAAAATTAAAGATCATATACTGTACTACTTTCACAAAGATCACACTTTTTTTTTTGCAAAAGACTTATTATATACAATACTATATCAAATGAAAGAAGCTTTAAGCAACTTTACAAGCGAAAGAAATACAGTATTTACAGCACTCGTCAGACATTAGAAACAGTCTATACATTAAATTACAATTTCTGCAAATAACTGATGAAACAAAAAGCCATGTCCACACCAAAACTATAAAAATCTGTATTGCATTGTTTCCTATCTCTATGCACACAAAAAACTGTTGACAGAATGAAAAAAAAAAAAAACTGTTAGTGCCATCACTTAGCCTGTGTACTTATTTAATTACATATGTATAAAAGTAATATAGAAAACTTTCACTAAATGAATTTAACTGCAACAATAAAATTTTAAACATTATGCAGCATCAAACCTACTGCCAGAAAAAACAGCTGGAATGTCCACTTACAAAATAAAAAGAAATACCTAATACTGGCTTAACAGCACATTTTCAGGAATTTTAAAAAGCAAAAAATGGAAAGGATACAATGGAAGAGCACTGGTGTTTGCTTTTATACAAAGTATCATGTACAAGCTTTAAAAAGTACCTTGAATAGGTACATATTAAATATACACAGTTTATATTACAGAACATTTTAAAAATGTTTATAACTAAAGGGATCTGTTTTAATGCCACCCTGACCCATGGTAATTGTTCTGAAAAGTGGGTGGCACCTGTGCTCTGTGGATGGGGATCTGTCCCGGCACCGGCGAGGCCTGCTGCTGCCCTTGCACTCCGTGGGGAAGGGTCACGGAGCCGGGGTGAGGGCAGAACCCGGAAGCAGTAGGTGTTGCAATACTGTTTGGTCCTTGAGGTTGGATGTGAGGACCCTGACCAGGGAGTGGGCAATGAGGTCCTGTGCCAGCAGGCTGATGTTGAGGTCCAGGTCCTAACGTCGTGTGATGTGGGGCTTGCGAGGAATAGGAGGACACGCTTGTGTGAGCATTTGAAGGGAAATGGGGGGGTCCTTGATGAGAGGGGTGGTGTAACCCTTGTGCTGATGCCGGGTGGTGGCCCGAACCGATAACGTTGGAGGGAGGGGGGGGAGGGGGGGGAGGTGCCGAGTTTACAACATGCTGGTGTTGTGCTTGCAAACCTTGGTGTCCCGTTGAAGGATGGGGAGGTTGGTGGTGGGGGAGAGGACCTGGTGGCGGAGGAGGTGGTGGCAAATGGTGACCAGCAGCTTGAGAATGAATGTGCGATCCAGGAGCCACTGCCATGGCATGGACCGGACCGACAACATGTGCTACAGAGTGCTGCTGATGAGTACTTTGCTGCTGGACAAGGTGAGGCCCTGGCGCAGGCGGTGGTGGAGGCGGCGGCGGAGCAGCGGATGCCGATGCCTGGTGATGAATACTGGGGTTCTGAGACGGCAGAAAATGCCCTGCAGCTACGTGGTGTCCCGGCACTGTTTGCTGACCTGCAGTGCCAGGAAGTGCTTGATTTGGTCCAGATGAAAACACAGTCTGTTGGGGTATGCTGCCCTTCAGCTGGCTGTAGCTCTGAAAGTTTCCAGAGGGCTGCTGGCTTTGATAGTAAGTAGAAGAAGGGGGTGGAGGGGGTGGGGGAGGTGGCGCATTGCTGTTCAAATTTTGTTGGTTAAACTGACTGTAAGAAGCTGAGGATTGTCCTGATGTTGTCTGAGTGAACAGGGGCCCGCTCGCCTGTGGCTGATTACTGGGCTGAAGGGTCGGTGCTGCCGGATAGAAGGTTCGGTGTGTTTCCCTCTGGGGTGTTCCAACTTGAGGTGACTGTGGATGATGAGGTCTGTATGGAGATCCCAACTGCTGTGAGTGAGGCTTTGGTGACAGATAACCGTGCTGCACAGGCGCGTGAGGGGTAGAAGACTTGGGAGGATTTTCTACATGAGGCGAAGGGGGGCAATGCAGCTTCAAAGGTGCAGAAGGCAACTTCTGTGAATGTGAGAGTTGCTCAGCAGAACTGCGCAGATGTGATTGAGATGGATGATTCTTTGAAAGTGCTTGGACGTTGTTTGTCAGCTGTTTTTGTTGCAGCTCAGATTTTGGATGGTTCGCACATTCGGTCTCAGGTGCATTAGCTGCAGTTTCCCAGTGCGAATCTGGTTTTGTGGGTGTTTTCCCAAGCGACTGCGTTGAAACTACAGGATTCGGTGAAGAGGGCTGGAATGAAAAGAAAGTCAAGTCAGTGCTAGACATTCAAAATATTCAACTATGCATGCAGCAGAGAGAAAAGAAGATCTCAGAATACCCTCCCCGATGGCAAAAAAAAAGCGTCAAGGTGCAGGATAAGAAAATATGGTGTAAGAAAAACATGAACAACAGAAAGATTAAGCTTAGAAAGACATTATTTTTAGCAAGTATGTGTCAATAGTCTTCAAAGTCAAAGACTAGCAATGGTATTTTAAAGTTGTAACAGAAATATGACCCATCAGGTCAAAGTCTGAATCTGTTATATGTCAAAACTTTTGGATTTCTGAATCTGAAAGAAGTAATTCCAGAGAAGACCACTTACAAAAATAAAGCCATTTTTAGCGTGATTTAACTTTTTAAAGCTGAGGTAGTGCAAGCAAGCAGACTAAACAGTACAACCTGAATTACTTCATTTAATATGGCACAGGCAATTACTCAACATCCTCCTCTGTATTATCAGTGCCCTGACTGACAAAACAGTGCCAAACCCTGCCACAACAAGAGCAACCTCCTGTTAAGGGTAAATCACATCCCTGCTGTTGGTTCCGAGTGCCAGTTCTTCAGCACTCACCCCTCAGAACAGCACTGGTACTGAATCCAGACACCATCTCTTCTGTCTAAATGCAAGATCATCTATAAATACATACAGATACTGAAGGAACAGCACACAAACCGACTTTTCAGAGTGTATGGATAAATATTCTTGCAAGTGTTTACCTGTGTAAAATTACTGCACAGATAGATGAACGTGTATGTATGTAACTTAAGTAGTAAACAATAAGATTAACATTTTTAAAGACAAATCACAGATGTATATGGCTATTCCTATGCTTATTGTGCAAACACTGTTGCTTTACCTTGCTTGCTTTTGACGGACTCTTACAAGTCCTTTGTGAAGAATCTGGGGACGGACATTCAGAAGTTGGCTCTGGATTTTCAGAATCAGGCTCTGTAGAAATAAAGCAGAGATAAATCAAAGTGGGAAAATCAAATCTTTTGCAGAGATCACTAAGCTCTTTATATGTGACTTTAAAAGAGCTATTAAAGCTGTTACAAGAGACTATTTTAAGTGTCACACAAGGTCATCTGCTTACTGACCTTCCATAAATTCAGTCAAAGAAGGGACCTTAAGCTGCAACTGGGAAATGAGATTTGAATGAGATGGAGACTGAACATGAGACGGTGAGCATGGCCTACAAGATGATTCTCCCCCTACAGATGAAGCAGACCCAAACACAGTATTAGAATGATTACAGACTACCATGGGGGAACTGGTTAGATTTATACACCATCAACATGATAAATTAACTCACCACTGTCCTTGTCTTTCCTATGATCACTGAGAAGTAAAGCTCTCTGATAACTTCGTTCTCTTACTTGTTCCACAGAGGTTGATGCAGTCCTGCAAAAGAGAAGCACATTTTAAATTTAAAATGTACTCCCACGGACCAAATTTAGGACAATGTATATGCAAATACAGAGTCAGAGAGTTTACAGTGTTGGCTGCATGTAAAAACCAAATAACTGGATGTACATAAGGAACATTATTACTTAAGTGGTTTGTATGTATTTTCTCCCACTTCAAATACACTGATTTCCTGCAACCCTGTTACATTACAGGAACTGGTAATTCCTCTCAATCAGGGAATACCTGTAGATCTGTGGGATTGTTTTCTAAACAACTGAAAAGTAAAACAATAAAGGTCACAGGTACAAGTTCCTAGCATCCATTTGTAGAAAACTGTCTTCTTCCAAAACTGGAAACTAGAAACAATCACCTTATTTGTTTGTTGTTAAGAATCTTCTCTTTAACAGTGGATCCAGAATTGTAAATAGTGCACTACTACAAATATACCTCTGTTTAAGCTTCTACATTTACTTGCCAGACAGGGGGTATACAATGACAGTCTGATCTTCTCTCTTACAATCGATTACATCTCTCAATCACAACCTGATCAAGAACATCATAAATAACAACACTCCACAAAACTCTGCTTTCCTGTATGGCAAGGACATATGGCATTATTCCATGATACTGGTGCACTGAAATAAATTTTGGTGCTGCTGTGCAGGGGCACTGCAAAATCCTAGCAGTTTAGCCTGTTTAGCCTGTTTCCACATCCTTTGATTACAATATAGTGCAGTGTCTTCTGCACAGTGAACTTACAGCCACTTTTCAGTGGAATGCTTAAGACTGCAGTTAATTAACGTTCTCTCCCTTCAACTGGCTCTACAAAATCCTTCTGGAACAGCTTCTAGAACAGCTGGAGCATGTGAGCAGAAGGATGTTCAACTCCTCAGCCCATGTTCATCCCCAACACAGTTGGGGATGGGGATGGCCTTCACTACAGCATGAAGAACATCTGCAGGGTTTATTTTGCACTAGCATTTTGGAAACACTGTCACCACAGCTGACCATCTACTTTAAGGCTACCAAAACCACAGTGAAAAATATGTGCAGTGTTTTATACAGACTGAAGTCACTCTATCTCATCCCCATCCATACTCCATCTCTCCTCAGGATTTTTGGTTGTTAGGATTTTGGCACGGCATTCAACTGACCACATGGTCTGCAAACAAGGGAACCATTTAACCATCCTGAACAACACTGTCAGTGTCATCACACGCTCCCTCCCTGAGCAGGAGCGGGTGGCCGGGCTGCAGCCCTGCACGTGGCAACTGAGCTACAGCAAACATCCCACACATGTTCCAGCCACGTGACTGAAACATAGACCTCCTAAGGTCTTCCAGAAGCTTTTGTTAATCAATACAGATAATTCTCCTGTTCCACCCTCTTCCTCTACAGCACTTTTGGAAAGGTCTGAGATTTAACATGAAAAACATTCTCTTCAGTCCACAGACAAAGGAGTGGAAACAAGGACACAAATGCTCAAATCAATACCTCTTTTGCTCTCAAAAAATAAAAAAGGAAAGCAGAATTAAAATAATTTAACCAATGTCTTATGGGTAATTTTTAATATATTTTAATCTTTATGATGTATCTTCTGTATTTCTGAAGAAAGAGGTGAGATGACAACACTAATCTGAAAGGACTTCCAGTCAGTAACCTGCCACTACACCCTTAATGGAAACTAATTTCAAATAGGAAAGACTTGGATTTAAGTACATAATTCTTCTGAATTTTAGTCCTATAGTTTTGTGGCTTACCACTGAACTTCTGGTTCATTCTTCTCACTGGAGGAAGATTCCTTAATTGCACAGTTGTTGCCATTGTCCTCTGGAGCTGCATTATAAACAGTAGCTGGCAGTGGTAAAGGCAGGCTTGCAGTGTTATCAGTTTGCTCCCCATTTTCACCACTGTTGTTATACCCATCATTAGCACCATTGTTATTACTTGTATTTCCTCCACCAGCAGCATGAGGAGATACAGTAACCAGGGGAAAGCTGTCTGTCTTTGAGCCACTTTTTCGAGCTTCTCGTTGTCTCTTACGGTATTCTAACAAGGACACCTAAGGAGCAAGAAAACCCAGAAAACAAACATTAGAAGGGAAGTTTCACCTCTTTCATTTCTCAGTTTCAATTAAATGTAATATTTTAGTAAGACCATTTAATTGGTTCTAAAAGAAAATGAGGATAGATTAACTGAAGACATTTCACCACATCTGCAGTGAATTTACAGAGCACTGAGCTACTAAAAACTGTAAAGACGATGTTATAAAAAAGCTTCTGCCAAGAGAACAAGTATGTATTCTGCCTCAGGGAAGAAGCAGATGACACAAGTCAGCAAAAAGTTTCCCTGTGGTTGTAGCTACAAGGGACAGTTTCTCCTGGAACTGCAGCATTAGTAAGAGTATACTGATACAGTAAAGCAAATTTCGAGGTCACATCCTGCTCTCAGTCATACTGACTCCCTTGTATGAAAAACCCACTACCCTTCTGCTTCACTCTGCTGCACGTATCAAAGCTCTTCATACATTTTTCTTAACATACAGAATTTGCAACTTAAATTTTCATTCTTTCCCCAGAGTTTATTTTGAATTTCTGTCTTTACTGCATGCTAAAAGAGACTGATTAAGAACATATTCTTAAGCTAATTCTAAGTTTATTACCAAAAATAATGACACGTGAAAAGTGGTTTCTACTTTATATATATGTATGTAAAATCCCTACGCAGACCTTCCACAGAATAGAAATCAGTTTAAACAGTAAGTTGTCATCAGTGAGAAAAATAATGTTCCAACATTTTCACTATGAATCTTCAGGATTTGAAGCAAAGAGCTGAAATACTGACCTTCAGACCTACTTTATTCAGAAATTACACTAGTTTGGTGAAAATGACATTTAATATCTATAAATTCTCCTAGTTATCAACAACCTACTCTGAACCATACAACATCCAAACCAAGAAACTAATGTGCAATAATGAAAAAAAAATGTTTAACTGGCTTAGTCCTCAATAAAAGCAGTCATCCATTTTTATACACAGAGAAAAGCAAGGCAGCCTGCTTTGTTTGCAGTCCTAAGGCTTTTTCTTTGTTTGCTTTCAAACAGATCTCTATCCGTTAGAGACTCAACCATATGTCAGGGTAAAAACAGAAGTACCTGATTTTTCATAAAAAAGTTCAGGTTAAGAACTGATCTTGCTTTCAAATAACTTTGTATTTCCACACCATGTGACAGAGACCCCTTGAAGAATATTGATTTAAAGAAAGCTTAAATGTTAAAAGAGCAGACAAAGCCTTTGCGGTGTGGCCACTATATACAGGACTGTACTGAAAAGGGAAAAACTTGTGCAATGGTAAGAGAAAAGAGTGAAACAAATGTTCACAGGAACACTGAAATATGAAAAAACCTCCTCCAAAGACCTCCCCTAGGATATTCCTGTCTTACATGATCCTAGGAAAAAGGCTTCTATTTATTTCCTGCAAAATTCCTGAATTCTCGCCTTTCACCTTCGGTGAGATCTAGCCCACCACCACCTCCTTTTATACTGTCAAAACCTGCAAATTTTTTTGTGTGTGTCTTTGGAAATCCTAAAGCCCATTCCTTCAGTGATACAGATGCAATTTGCTCTGGTTGTTTCTTCAAACTGAAAATTTTAGACAGGAATCCCAGGATTCAGGGGTGACAGGGGGCAGCCACACCTTTTTTTTATTCAGGGATTAGTGTAGCATCAGCCCTCATCAGTGACAGTCTGGAAGAATCCTTGTCAGCAAGAGAAAGGAGGAGGATTACTGAAGCATGAAGTGCTGCTGGGATTTGTTAAGACTGATTTAGCCTTCAGACAAAGAATGTGAAGTTACAGAAATTTTGGCTTATGTTTTCTTTTGAGGTTTGCCAAAACAGCAGGGCTACAGTAAAACACACAGATCTATAAAATTCTCAGGACCCTGACCAGGTAAGAACAGAATTCCTACCAATCTCACTCTGTTTATGTCTCAGCCTGAAGCAAAGTAAACAAAAACCCAGTTCTGCTGGAGAACTGATGAAGGAAGAATCCTGAGTGCTCCCCAGCAGGATGCTCCCTGCCCACAAGGGAAAAGGCACATACAAGGGGCTGTAATGTGACCAAAAAACCCAAACCCCACGGTGCATGTATGTTACACACACAGAAAATGCCCCCACTCCCCTCATCACTACTTCCATAAAGAAAATAAATCACATCTTTCAAACAAGAAAGAATGAGACAGAACTGGCAAGCTGTTGCTCTGGAGATCATTGCATTACATGTCTGTTGCCCTTCCTGCAAAGGGACTCTCACCTGACACTACAATGCAATCTAAGAGCTATGCAAAACAACTTCCAATCCTGGTTCGAGTTGCCCATGACCACACCACTTACCCACAAGAACTGTTTCATGAGAGTAGCAAATTTAAATTGCACTTATTTTTCAAACACAGTATTTGATAAAAAACCCTCAAACCAACAACCAAATTAAGTCAAGAAAAATATTCCTTGGAACTAAGTATTTCTGTGCAGTTCTGACTTTAAAGTCAGAGTATCCTAAATGTGTTAGTGCAATTTCTTGCAGTAATTCATAACAGATGTTCAGGTATATCATCTCTATGCTGCTACTGTATATCCTGTATAATAGAACAGCGTAACACCAAATGGCATAAGCAACCATTTTCAAACCTGAAAAGCAATTTATTGAGCAATTAATTTAAGACTCATATGAAATAGAAGTTAATTTGTATGTATTACTTGGAAAAAATAAATTTACTGATGGCTGTATGCAGCTTTACTCTTTGCCCTTCATTATTTCCCCTCAAAAATGTCTATTACACTGTAGTATGTAAAGATGTGCCACCAGCTGGTTTTTATTACATTAGGGCTCTCTCTGTTATGGAAGTATCATCAGCAGTTGACAAAAGGCAGACCAAATGATTCTTAAAATTATAACCTTTTTCTTTTGTGGAGGATTCTGGGGTGTGCAATTTCCATCCATCATATTGTCGTTATTGACAGTCCTTCCAAAGCCAGGTGCAATTCCATCTTCTGAAGTACAAAAAACAGATGCTTCCATGAACATGCCTCTTCCATCATCTTGAATTGGGCACTTGGACTCGCTTATTCTGAATCCACCTCCTACCTCCAACTGATGTGAAGGGGTCAAGTCCCTCAAATTAGAATTCATTGAGAAATTTACACCTGTCCTGTCAGGACTTTTTACCCAGGAAGAATAAACTGTGCCCCGTCCACAATGAGCAGTTTCTAGTTGGCTGTTTGCATCAGTCCTATCATGTGTGGGGGCTTCCAGGTTTTTATGCAGTGCACTTTGCTCAATTACTTCGAGTCCCAGCTGGAGGTCTGACACAGATTCCATTTCTCCAGTGCACTGCCGTGTGACATCAGTCCTATTCCTTGGACTAGAATATCCAATAGTCTTTATTTCTTGCAGGCCCATTTCTGTCAGGCTGGAATTTCTGAAAGAATTCAGTGCTAGAATCGATGCTCTGTCATAACCCTGTGTGAAGAAAACACACATCAACTATTTTTTCACACTCCATCAAAACTGCAACTACTCTGACAGTCAGCTGCGCCTCTAAGTGGGATTAAAAGCCTTAAAGTACCATGAATTTATCTGTTTTAAGAAACAATTCTACAGCCAGACACTTATTTCTACTGTTCCCATGTATTACGTTAAAGCATTTTAACAAAATGCACATTAACCAAAGTAAAAATAAACATTATTTGTCAGATTTTATTTTACGACTGGCAGAAGAAGGAGAGCAGTGGCAACAGCAGCAAGTCCCTGGCCAGGAAGCTACAAAGCACTTGCTTCAACTCAACATAAAAGAGATTCTCCTCAGTGTCAAAACACTTATTTCAAAGAGGGAGAAAAGTTTTTCCAAGACACTTTTGAATTCTGAGACAAAGCAGGACACATGCATTCTGCACACTGGGAGTACCCAGGCACATTCCAACAGCACTTGATGCTTCTCAATTAATCCACCTAAGCCCATTTACTACCTTTGTGCTCTGCTCTCTCACTCTAAGCATAACTGGGATCAACAAAAACAATTAAGAGATGCTGGTAACAAGGAGAAATGTTAATCTGAATCTAACTACAACCTGGAAAGCAAAGTGTTCTTTTTCTGTTCTTGTCTGGAAATTACAGTAGTTACTCCTTTCCATTATGAGGAGTTTTAAATGATACGGAAAAAGAAAGAAACCAGTTTAAAATAGAGAATGTAACAGGTAAAGTGGAAATAAAAAGCAGTATGCAAATAACCTATAGGGAATTTACCCTTTACATTGTGAGAAACTTGCAATGGCTGGTGAACAGCATTTACTAAGAACAGTGCAGCCATACAGGTGACATCAAGATACCCTTTGCAGGTTTGTGCATGTTTCCTTACCTCTTGACTGTAAGCTCTCCTTTTTATTTCTGGGGAACTGTCAGGTGAGGAAATATTCTAAATAAAGAAGAAGAAATTGCAAGTCAATTTATTTTTTACCTTGGAGAAATATAAACCCCCCCCTTTGTAAGAGGAGTACAAATACCGATTAACACTGGAATGTCCAAACACATTCTCTGAACACATTAAAATTCTTCATAAATCTCACCTCAAAGTGCATGGTATTTCCATGTATACATGGAGTTACAGGAGTAACTGGTGAATATATGGGTTTGTAACCATTTCTACAAGCTTCATCTTCTGTTTTTACCCTAGGAGGAGTAGCAAACAAGGATGGCTCGGAGGCAGTGATGTCAGCATGGGTTGGTGTGGCATAGGGAGAAGGAGTAGGTGTGGAGGTTTCTGAGAATGCAGACTCCAACAGCTGATACAGTCTTCGCTTTTTCAGTGGTGTGGTTAGATCTGTGTGTTAAAATTAGAAAAAAGTTGGAAGATATCTAGATACAGCAATCACTTACAGTTGTCACTTTATGTAATGAAATTACGAATTCCACATTAAAAACCTGCATGGTTACAAAAATCTTTTAAGGGCAGGCTTCCCGAGAGATGAACTTTTAACAGCCTACAGACTTCCTGAAAAATAAACTCTTTAACAGCCTACAGATATATCAGTAACTGGAATCTGTGTGTTAAGATGCTGGGAAGAACTGTCTGTGTCTCCAGAAAAGGGAAAGTCAACTTCTATGCATTTTTAAGACTGTTCAGCTAAAAAGTGGAGATTGTAAGTTCAGGACTGTAAACGGCATTCATCTGACAGGTTCCATATCCTTATGGAAGTGTGTTTAGTTTTTAGTGCATTCTCATTTTCTATTATGCCTACAAGATTACACAGCTTTTCCCCTGTGTGCTACACAGGCCTAATGAGTTTTAAAGGAATCTAAATATACAGAACAGCATGGAAAGTAATTTACACCTGATCTCTTACTATTAACAGTCAAAAACATTAGTCTTTTGTTGACTGCAAATGCTATGAGATATGGTGGTTTCTTATCTAACATACATTAAAGGGGGGAAAAATCCCAAGCCCTATGCAATGAAGCATTTCTTTCAAAGAAAGTAACATCATTTTAAAAAACACAGTTCTCCACATTCAGCTACCTTGATATAACTCTTATGCAGTGTACTAGTAAAAGTTTCACACCTGTTAAGGAACAGCTGTCATTCAGTAATAGAGGACTTTTATGTTCACCATTGATGGCTGGACTTCTAGATCTCTCTTGTGATGGTGAATTAAATCTATCAATCATTGTTGAATTTTCTTCTTCCAGAGCCTGCTTCAACCAACGCTGTAAGACAACAAGTTCACATTAGTGACTTAGAAGTTTAATGACGAACATTTCAAAACACATATCACCACTGAAATGGTTTGCCAACCAGCTTTTCTTCTGCCTAAATTTATGCTAGCAAATAGACTTCTTTTTAATTAATATGGGATGGGGAACCATAGCGAAGGGAAGCATTACCTTCTTACAAGAGCCAGTAATGTTTTCCACAGGTTCTTTTTTCCTCCTTTTTTCTGAAAGGAATGGTGAAGTAAAACGAATATAGTGCTTTGGAGTTGAATAAACATGTGGACTGTAAGTGAGACCAGGTAAAGAATTCAGCTGAGTAGCCAGAACTTCAGGGTCTGTAGTTATGCGTAGAGGCCTTTCTGGTAGACTGTCTGTAGGTTTCCCTGCTTTATCACTCTTTTCACTTAACCATTCACTGACCAAGTGCTAAACAGAGAGAGAAAAGAAATTACTGTTTTATGAGGGTTTTTATTAGTGGCATTTAAAAATTTTTTAGTCTAATTATTCATCTTGTCAACCATTACACAAATTAAACAGTTACTGTCCAGGCTGCAAGTTTAAAAATACACAGCGAGAATGAGGACGGTTTCAGTGAAATAGTGGGGATAGCAGAAGAAATCACTACAGATTTGTTTACATACCAGTTTGGGGCTTTTTTTTTTTTTTGTTCTTGTTGTTGTAAACTACATTTAGTTCTTCTGAATTTAATTCTCACTGAACATACTATACAAGTGCCCCTATCAATTGTACTTAAGAATTTAGTATATAAAATTCCAAAGCAAATTTTAAACTTGTGCCTGAGCAACTAGGCTAAGGAGAAATATTGTAACATTAATATAACAAACTTAAACTCCTCATCAGATTTCTGTACTGTCAGGACTGTGCCTCAGTCAACATCTCAGGCAGGTGCCTTGAACATGAATCTTCAACTGTAGCTGTATTAAATTATAGCACATGGACTAAGGCACATTACTCAAAAAAGGGTTTTCTTTAGGTAGTTCAGTGTTTTTAAAAAACATGCCAGTGGACTTGAGTTTCTATTAACAGATAAACCAACTTCCTAAATTTTACAATGATTCAAAATTAAGGACATGCAAAAACAGCACACTAAATAATAATAATGTGATAGTAAGGCTTTAACACAGATTATCATAATATATTTAAGTTGCTTGTCTTTTACAAACCTATTTAATTAATTTTTAAAGTAGGACTTTCTCTGCACTTAGAGTACACTGAGTGCAATGTAATGAGACACTTCACAGATATTCATCCTTAATACTATGAAACAACAAAGAAGTGCAGTAAAGTTCAGACTTGGGACATCTTTGTTCCTTCCTGCTATGCAACGCGGAAGAAAGGAAGAAAGATCCTAGTCTTCCTTCTCATAAGAATTTAATAGGGATGCAATAAGCAGTGTTACAGGATGACTCAGGTGCCTCTTGAAAAAAAAAAATCTAAGGTGTGTTTGGGGGTTTAAGATAAAACCATCTTAAAACTGTTATTGTTCATTTGACAAGAAGTTTCAACCTATGACTTCCTTCCCCTTTCCCTCCACTATATAAAATTTCCAGAACTTCTTGTAAATCAAGCTACAAACACTTTTTAATGCAGTCTGTAGAATTTCAAAGCAGAAAGTTTTACTGCTTTATTCACACTTGCAGATTTAAGATTTTTAAGTGTCTTTAAATATTGTGCCATTTCTTAGAAGTTTTCTGCAATGTAGTCCAATGGAAAAAACCTTAAAAACAAAACACTAAAGAAGAATGTTCTCTCCAAACATGCACATAAATTTTGGGTGTTTAAACCTATTCACTTCAGAACAGACATTTGGAAAGTACTAGAAGTTAATTATTTCCTTGGAGATCTTCTGTTTGCTATCTGAAGCATACAATGAACAAAGGACAGAAAGGCAACTTATTTCCCTGTTTTTTTTATTTAAATTAAGTATGTTTTGATTATGTGTAGTATTTCAATCCATTCAGAAAGCCCATTTAGGAAACATTCCAAAATTGCTCTGAAAGATGTATTTTGGACGTCTCTTAAAATCCAAAAGAACTTCTACCAGAGGATGTTACAAACTTAAATCTATTACCAGTGACTGGCTATACAATGGTGATTTTTAAAGAAATGAGTCAATGTTTAAAAAAAAAAAAAAAAAAAGCAGTTGCATACTGATGAAGCAGTCTGTAACTTTTTAAAACTCTGTTAAAGTCCATTCTCTTCTCCCCATACCTCAAGACACATACCTTCTTTGTTTTAGGATACTTAGTAGGGCATTTACTAAGTGCTGGGGCTTCTGTTTCAGTAACCATTTCTGTAACAACAGTTTCGGCTTCAGGTTCAGCTACCAGTGCAGCATTCTCAGTTTCATTATGCTGTGAAGTTACTTCCACGTCAGGAGAAGATGGCTGGATATCTGAACACATGCTGACAGTTCTGTGCCGTCTGCGCTGCTGTCCAATGTGAGTCCTACTCCGTGAGAAGCTTTTTCTCTGTTTAGCTCTATTAACTTTGGCTGGGGTAGGCTTGGTGGCAGTTTCTTCTTTTGCAGGTTCCTGGTACAACACAGAAGTCTCATAAGCAGATCCCACACACATTTAGAGCTATCTATCTTTCTTAGATGAAAATGTCAGTTCCCTCTTCTTTTACAGGTCCAAAAAGCCTCTAATTTTTATTACGATATTTCAGAGATAATATTTCTCTCCTTCTTAAAGGCAAATGAGAAGATTTCATGTATTTTCCTCCCAAGCAATTGTAGAGTACTCACACACACCAGTCAGACCAGGACAGATTTGTGTAAGAACTGACACACCGCATTAATTTATCTGTAAGCTCAAAATCAACTGCTTACATCATGATGTCTTTCAGTCCAATATTCTTTCTGCAATTTATAGTTTACTAGGTATTTAGCATTGCACAAAAGGTACTTCACAGAATGCTGACAGGAACTGTTCAGGGAAACGACCTGAACTGAGAACCTGTATGAGTATTTGCAAACTAAGAAGCATCCAGCAACAACAGGGTAAATAACTGTTTAAAAGACATTAGGTATCATCTGCAAGAACTCAGAAAAAAAATACATTTTAATAACTTCTTTCCTTTAAAATAACAGAAAGGATTATAATGTGTTCCTGAATAAACCACCGAAGAAGCAAATTGTTCTCCACTGGTTATAGACAGTGCCTAAGGAAAGCCCCCTCCTGTGGCTAAAGTCAACACTGGTAAATGCTTCTATCCTGAACTTCAAAGACAGACTGAATTACACAGCTGGGGTGTGTGTGCATGTCTGCATAAATTCACGTAACAGATATTCCTCATTAAATAATTCTATACGTGTCTTATTAGGAAAAAAATTTAGGAGCTAATATAATGTCAAAGAAGCACCCAGATTTTGGTCAAATGTATTTGAGTTCAGAGGGAGGAAAAAAAAAAATGTATTCATACATCTTGAAGTGCAGTTCGACATCCAAACTGACAAAATATGCAATGTTAAAAGCTAGATTTAAAATAAAGCTACAGATAACTACCTGAATAAATTCAGCATCATTGAGAATCTGTGCTTCCTTGCATTCCGATTTAACCTCAGTTTTTGCTGTGCTGATTCTTTCCAAAGCCTGTTCTCTTCTTTTTTCTCGTTTTTCTAGTCTGGCAAAAGCTTGCAGGATAGCTTCCATTTTCCGTTCTTCTCTTGTCTGATGGATTTAACAATAATCATGATCAATTTTGGTCATAATCTTTCATGCATATAAATATGTAATTAAATACTCCCTCCCAATTTTTAAAGTACTTCAGAATGTGTTAAACATATGTTGACATGAAGATAAAGTTCAGCAGAAGCTCAGATTAAAGGGAGATGTTACAATCACTGCCATTAATAGAGACTGCTGAGGAAAGGCCTGCAATCAGACCAACCCTGACAAAAAAACAAGTTTCAGATTTAAGAACGTGCTAAAAATGTTTGAATGCTAACAAAAACCCCCATATTTTTAAATGGTACTTTTTGTAACACTGTTCTATCAACCTCTAAAAGACAGGATTTCTGGAGCTTTTTAAGTTGGGAACTCAAATAGAATAGCCAAAATACTAACTCCCAACACTCTCTCTAAAAATGACCATCACAAATAGCACACAATAGTAAAGAACAAATAATTAAATCTAAGAGAGACGCTGTAGAAATCATCTAAAGGCAGTTAAAAAGTAATAGTTGAAGATAAAAGCAGGTTTTGTCAGAAAGCAGTGATCAACCCAGATGAAATGTTCTCAAATAGAAACACTTGCATTTTAAGGGTAAGTTCATGTAAGGATCTGACTTCACACATACTCTACACGCCTACAAAAAGGCAGCAATTAGCATGGGAATAGCAGGTGTCACTAAGCCTTAGTGATGACTTTAGGCAGCTACTTGCTTCCCAACTTACCATCTTCCTTTTCCTTTCTGCAATCTGCTCCTCTGATTCCATTTCTACTTCATTGCTAATGGGAGTTTTTTCTTCTATATCATCAATAAAATCTGGCTCCTGAAAGATGGAAACGACTGTTTTACAGAAGCTCTACTCCTCTTGCAAACTATGGAAAACTAAAAGCTACACAGAACTAAGATTCCTCAGATCATTATATCAAAAGTAACGTTAAACAGCTAACTTTAATAGCTGCTCTGCAATATAAGTTCATAATTTATGTGTCGCAGACCTCTTCCAACAGCTCTTTCAAATATGGATATATTAAAAGAAAGATCAATTTAAAATTTACCATCATGGTACATTACCAGGTGGCTTTGCCATACTATCTGCCCATTATCCAGTGTTCAGCTTCAGTTGGGAGGAGTAAGGTATGTTTTGAATTAAACACAGACCTGCAGAGCTCTATTAAACATGGAGCTAGCTGCATTCAACACTTAGTATTCTGGGTTGGAGTTCTGTTACAGGAGCAGGGCTAATTATTGCCATGTTTAAAATACTCTGCTCCTAAGTAACAGAGGCAACTAATCAAAAGGCACTTCAGGATGAAATGAGCTCCTGAAAGCACGACATGAGGCATTCACATTAGAGAGCCACAAAGAAATTCAGAGGAAAAAAGTATAGTTAAAGGTGGTATGGGAACCAACATATTTTTAAATACAATCAAATATTAAAGAAAACTGAGAATAGTATACAAAATTCTGAACAGCTTATCCGCCATTCTGATTTCTGATAGATCTCCATATCCCTTTTCAGTGACTTATTAAAATTCCTTCAGTAGCTACAAAAGGAGAGTATCTGTGTTTACAAGCTTTTATTTCTGAGCATCTTTGTGTCAATACCTGATTATTAGAAATGGACAGCCTGAGAGGAGAGAGCTTTCTCTGCTTATTATCTGTGATTTTCATTTTGGTGGCTGCTCCTTCACAGTCCAGTGTGATGTTCTGATTTTGAGTCTCCTTTTCTCTTGAAACATCTTTCTCCTTCTTTCCCTTTTTCCTTCTGGTTTCATATCCAGTATTGATGTTTTCTGTAGGCTCAGAACGTCTGAGAACTGGACATTCAGGATTTTCTTTGAGGCAAGCACAATCCACTTTGTATTTACTGGAAGTAATTAAATGCAGGAAGGTGTATTTGATTAGGCTATACAGCAACGAGATCTTTCAATACTAAATCACATAAGCTGATGTACTTCACATTAGACATCTGCTGTAATGTAAACCAACCACATTAAAAAGCAGGTGACTCAAGTTTTCACCATGATATACAATACTGCTGTAACTCCAAAAATCCCATCTACCAGTTAACTGGTTGGTTGCCATACAGAATTCTTTTAAATTCAGTTCAGTATTTGCTTAAAAGACAGAAGACATCTAAAATCTGAGTGTAATTCTAGATGGAAATACAACCACCACAAAATGAACAGATGCACGAAAGGCAGAGTTCTTTCTTTATGCCAAGACAGACACAATTTACAGAACGAGCACAGTGAACTCAAGAGTCACTCACACAATTTTAAGCTGCACTTGGATACATAGGAAATGTTATTCAAACACATTCAACTGACAGCGCTGTCAGCTGTAGGTACTAAACACAACTACCATGCATTTTTAAAAGGATAAATAACAAAACCCAAAAAAACTATCAACCAGCAATTTCTCAGGTTCTTTTCACATAAGAGATCACAGAGTCATACAAATGCTCATTTTGGAAGGGACCTTAGAGATTATCTGCTTCCAAACCCCCTGCCATGAGCAGAGATACCACTCACTTGCTCAGGACCCCATCCAACCGGGCCCTGAACACTTCTCCAATTTTTTTAGCTTAGATTAGATATTAGGAAGAAATTCTTTGCTGTGAGGGTGGTAAGGCACCAGAACATACTGCCCAGAGAGGCTGTGGATTCCCCATCCCTGGAAGCATTCACGGCCAGGTTGGACGGGGCTCTGAGTAACTTGGTCAAGTGGGAGGTGTCCAAGACAGGAGACTGGAACTGGATGATCTTTTAAGATCCCTTCTGACCCAAACCATGCTATCATTCTATTATCTTTTAGTTGAAAACTATTCTCCCCTGTCTAAGAGAAGGTCACTCTAAACAAACCTACGTTCTGAGACCCTCACTGCCACTGTCCAAGCGTGCTTGGCCCCGGCAGATGAACCTCAGGATTAAAGGGTGGGCTCAGTTCAGCGCACGCTGGGTCTCACCTAAAAAATCCACTGCGCAGGCTTGAAGGGTTAATGACCTTTCCCAAATCTTTGCTCGGGAAGACTGGCCATTATTCTCCCCTGTCTTATCACTATCTGCTCATGTTAGAAGTCCCTCTCCCCCTTTTTTTTTTAAGCCCCCTTTAAGAACAGGAATGCTGCAATGAGGTCTCCCCTGATACTTCTCCAGGCTGAACAACCCCAGCTCTCTCAGCCTTGTCTTCATAGGAGAGGTTCTCAGACTTCTGACCATCTCTGTGGCCCTCCTCTGGATCTGCTCTAACAGGTTCACAACTTTCTTGTACCAAGGACTCCCGACCTGGATGCAGTACTCCAGGATCTCAAAAACACAGCAGAGGGGGAGAATCACTTCTCTCAATCTGCTGGTCACACTGCTTTGATGCTGCCGAGGTTGTGGTTGGCTTTCGGACTGCAGGCACATGCTGCTGGCTCATGTTCAGCTTTTCACCCACGAGAACCTACAAGTCCTTCTCTGCAGGACTGCTCTCAATGAGTTCTTCTCCCAGTCTGTACTGGGACTGCCCCAGTCCAGGTGCAGGTAGACTTGCAGGAGGTTCATGTGTTTTCAATTCTAATGTCTGTCATGCCCCCCGGGCGGCATCCTGTCCTTCTGTTGTATCAACTGCACCACTCAGCTTCCAGTCATCTGCAAACTTGCTGAAGGTGCACTCGATCTCACTGTCTATGTCACTGATAAAGACATTAAAGAGGGATGTAGAACAATTCTTATAAGTGCCAGGTTTCCTGAGGCAGTCTGAACCAAAGCTGATTAATACAGGTGGTCTGTGGTCATACTTAGTTCAGGTCAGGTAGCAAAGGCACGTCTACACAGCACTGCATCCAAGTTGGCTTAAAAGAGCAGACCACAGAAGTGCAGTAATAAAAATACAGAAGAAACTCTGCGCACGCACACACTGTTTACTGTAAATACAGTGCCTAAGGAGCCCTCTGTTATTAGAGCATGCAAGAAAGTAAAAGACATAAAACCAAAGCCATCCTGAATTGCAAAGTAACCAAATGAGCATTTGATGTATTTTAGAACATCATTCTCAAATACTTACCAATTTCCATAATCAAAATCAAATGCTATGGTAATCTCTGCTCCCTTTGGAATGTTATGGATGGAGTAAATATAAAGATGAATTGTTCCATCTTCAATTACGTGCCTCACCTATATTCAAGGGAATATCATATTATCATGAGTTACTTTCTTTTTTTCTAAGTACGTGTATAACAATTGTAGGGATTGCTTAAATTATCAAAGGAAAAGGGGACTTCTAAGTAAATAAAACCTAATTTAACTTCATATATACTCACCTCTGCATTTGGTGTACATGAACGCCTGATAAATCGAGCTTCATTCCCAAAAGTCCTTGCATCAACACACATTTCTAGCCCATGGAATTTGGAATAAAATAAAACAAATGGGTAGGGCCTGAAAAACATACAAGAAAACCAGTAGTTTTATCATTTTAAAGACGCTAAATAGCACTTATTCTTCACATTAGTCATGTGCTGTTTGACACGATAACATGCTGTTTGACACAATACACCAAATTTGTGGGTTAATCTAAGAATGACATGCTTGCATTTAAGCTTCATGATTTTAACTGGTACATTCTCCAAATTTATTCTCAGAATACCTCAAGTTGGAATTACAGTACCTTATGCATAGGATCTAAAGGGAGAACAGTAACAGGTCAACCACCAGACATGGAAGACACAAGGTTAAGATTTATGAGATTTCTTAAAACTTCTGACAGGCCCTGAAATGAAACTCAGAAATTTATACACCATGTAGAACCACATAAAAAAAGTAACACCTCCATGTGCTTGGCTAACACCTGCAGCACCACCAGCACCTAACCCTCCTGAAGCAAGGGGACATTCAAATAATTCACCAGGACATGGTTTAAGTTCTGCTATTGCAAACACCAGGGAACCCGTCCATCTTTACTGAGCTAAAGCTATGTGTTCCATCTTCTCCAATGGGTCTCTTGAAAATTCCCAACTAGGTGTGTCCATGCAGTTAGTGGCAGCATTGAAAACAACCCACAGAAAGAAGGCAGCAGTCATGCATGGCTCAATAATTTAACCAATTAGAGAACTCTGGCAGTAAAGTGACCCCAAGTCAACCATTGTCCAATTTCATTCTCAGCCTGATGGACTTAAAATCTGTTTTTCTCACAAAAGATAATGTCTTTGCCATTAACTTACGAATTATTTTAGGATGGTAGAACCTGTCAACCCCTGGTTTAAGGTACAAAACTACCCAACTGAGAATGTAGGAATCCTGTAACCAGGGAAGAACAAAGAAAGAGGAAACTAGCTCCTGAACAGATCTGTAAGGATATTCAGAAGAGAAAGAGGGAGACCAGATTCCAGCTGCCATTACTTTTAATCAGACAACAGTAAAATGCAAGACAGTGCTGACAACTAAGACCCACTTGTACTTGAGGCAAGAGTTTGGCAAAACACCATTTTAACAGTTACTTTACTAAAACATCTGGAATAAACAAACCTTTTAAAGAAATATCCATTAGCTTCAAATTGTTCTCTCAGCATGAACTTTCCTCTGTATTCAATAATAAGTGCATCGGGAGGCAGGTCTTTGGCAGCTTTTAAAATTTTCTTGTTTTTTTGTATGTAACTCTGAAAAGACATAGATTCATTTATGAAGTATCAGTATCATTTTCCCACTATTATTAACAGCAGATTACACTTTCACAACTACTAAGCAGTTTTATGTGAATTAAAAATCCTTCTAGTAAGTAAACCTCCAGACTGAAGTGACCGAACTGTCCTGTTCCCCTACCAATGTGACTAGTTATGAATTTAGATTAAAGGAATGCTTCAGCCCTAGTTCTCCAGCACATGGCTGAAAACCAACTTATTCACGTTCTCACAATTCAAGTACTATATCCCTTAGTGCACTTAACTCTCACCATGACTAGGATGAATTGCTGCATTATTTTGCACAACACTTTCAAAAGGCTCCAATTCCTTCAAACAAAACAAAACATGCAGACATAAAATGACATTCACAATTCATTCAAGGAAAAACAGAACAGGAAAGTAACATAATAACAGAATCCTGAGAGAGTTTCCAAATTTATTTGCATGTCTTTAGACGGAAGGACGGCTTTTAATTAAAAACCAATACATACCCTGGCAATTAGTGAACTCACACCTCTCATAACTGTCATCACCAACCAAAAAGGAAGTAGCCTCTATGTAGGCAAAAGGCTCTGTAAGTAGGGATATTCCTCTAAGGAGGGTGTCCCATATGCCATGATGGTCTTCAAGAAAAAGAAGCAAAGATGCTTCCATTAATCTGCTACAGTAACTATTCCTCAAGATTTCTGCTACAAAGTGCTATGGTCTTTTACATGGCTCTGATTTTAAGCCTGCAAGTAACTGAGAGTAAGGCTAAAAAAAAAAAGACATTGCACATTTTCTTCATGAACTAGAAATCACAGGATCATGTGAGTAAAAAAAGAAAAAAAAAATCAGTATAAGAAATATCATTCATGAACATTCAGAACACTTACCACACCTTAAGAAAAATGTAGACAGTGAACATGTTGATACACATAGAAAAAAAAAACCAAACGGATTCAGCCTCTATGCTCCTATCTATTCTAACCACTCCTTATATTCCTCACAGAGAAACAGCAACAAAGTTGACTGCCTGACAAAAAACAGTGTAAGGACAATCCAATGTTCAGGCTCTGACTAACAACTTAGCTGCTTTTTAGGATAAATGATACGCTAATATAAACATAACCAGGGATGATACAGAATGTATAAAAGTAAATTTCAAATTCTGAAAAATGTTAAAATTCTGATGTTAAGTCTCTGGGGGTTTTTACTTGTTTTTTTTTAAAGGCATCTACATGAATATTTTTTGTCATGGCAAACAGAGCACGTAACAACACAACAAGGCACCGCTCATTACCTCTACTGGAGGTTTGAAAATCAAATTGCTGGTGCTGACTTCTTTTTTGTCATTTCCATTGCCTAATCTCAGAGCTATTTTTTGTGCCTCCCTCTGGACACCTTCACTGTACTGGTTATTATTTGCTTCTTCATAACGATCCATCCATGCCTTGATTTTATTTTCCCACCCGAAGTTCGAAGTGTCAGTAGGATCAATCTCTGGAGCTGAACCCTAAAAATTAAAGTAAGTGACCAGATATTAGGAGACAAGTTATACAAAAATTAAAAAAAAAAAAAATTCTACAAGAAGACACAAAATGAAGGGCAGAGGTACTGACTGAATTGATTTAAGGTTTGGGTTTTTTAGGAAGTCTAGTATAAAACTCTGCATTACTTAAAAACATTCAAGTTGAATTCAGTCACATCACATTTGTTCAAGAATTTTATTTCACAAATATCACCCAAGTTCAGGAATACATTCCCTCCTCAACAAAGATTCTAGCTTTCAGTGGGATGAGAATGGAGAGTGACACTGTTTCCTCCCACAACTGCACTGTATCACGAATCTATGAGTGCGGGAGTTGGAGGGTCACATCTCCCCGCCCACTCAACTTTTGTGAACATATGCAAATATACAGAACTCCAGCTTTTATCCTGTAATACACAGACTTGGTTTTCCCCTTTTAACTTCAAGGGTCATGCTGTATCTTTTCTTCCGCTGCACAACTTACTAAACTTTACTAATCCTACACCGACTACGTTAAGGTTGTGACTCAACGTCACAGGCTTTGCACATATTTTTCCCTCCTTCTCTGCTCCTCACTACACAATTCTCTTCTGCAGTGCTTCAGATCCTTTCACTTTTAAAGAAAGTGCCATTGTACCTCCAGACCTCACAAGCAGCAGCCAGGCTGCAGCCAACCAAAGCTCCTTATGGACAGCAGCAGCCAGCCAACGCTCCCTTTTCTATCCACCTGAGCAGAGACACTATTAAATATTAATAAAACACAAGTAGTTCAGCATTTCAAATTACCTGTTTACATTTCTTTTGTGCATGAAGAAAACCATACACACAAACAGCATTAAAAAATGTGTGATGCTAAGAAAACCATGAAAAAAACACAATGGAACCTTAGGAGCACCATATTCAAAAAACCCCCATACAACAGAGATTCTTCTTCCCCAATTCTATCTTTACTACTCAGAAGCCACATTTTATAAATTTGAAGCATAAATTGCATCCCACTTGTTTTTATACATCCCAAGCATGAACGAACCATGGCAAATACCTAGTTCTCACACCAGGCATATTTTTATCTCACAGAAAATTTCAAGTCTGCTGTAACACTTAAATCTTACAAAGCAGACCTCCCAGCATGACTCCTCAGGCTGTGAAAGTACTAGTGAGTGGAGTCCCATCACATGTATACACGGAGGGTATGACAGAGCAGAAATGCTAATTTATCTTTCAAATGCAATACAGATATCTCATTATTTTGCTGTTTAAGAGTTATAAAAAGCTGGAGCTACTAAGTTTGAATGAGGTGTATACTCAACTTTACTCCCTTATATAGCACAAATGAGCCCCAATTCATCCACTAGGCTCTTGAAAATCGCCTATTCTCAGGATAAAAATTTGCAGTACATTATTTCAGTTAAATTCCAGGACATAAAGATGTAGTGCATAATTTAAAATCACTGTGATGCATATGTAGTACATTAGTTATCAAGAAGAGAATACCTTAGTGCTTAATGTATAGTCCCAATTACATTCTTAATGCTTCTTATTATTGAAGTAATATACAATTAAAGTTTGACACAAAACCCAAACAAAATCACATTACCTTTACTCGTGAAGATTTCCTGGATCCTTCTCGAAATGCCTGGAATAAAATTAGATATATATATTCACTTGAAGAAATACAAACTCTCTTAAGGAATTCAAAATCTATTAACAAATTAACAGCTTTTCAGTGAAACATGCAAGATGAAAACAACAGAACAAACTATGGTGAAATCTCAAGAAGGTAAGAGGTTACATCTCACAAAATGCATTTTAAAAACCAATTCAGCATTTCAACGTAAGCCACAGGAGAGTCCAGGTACCTCTACCCTTCTCCCACATTACAACTTGACTCTCTAGAATTTCAGAATCCAAGCCAAAATATGAGATAACAGAATAACACATGGCAGTAAATTTGTGTCCAGAATTGTCTGTTGAAGAGGAAACATCTTACTAAAAATTTCTTACAAGACATCAGTAACTAATTCTGACTATTTAAAAGACAAAACTCTCATCCAAGCCAATGAAATACAACTACAAAAAGCAACTTGATTCAGTAGGTTCCATGTACTTTACTTCTTCATATATATTTTGTCTTCACGTATGTGATACTGTTTACACCTGCAGCTAAACCATATAATTATCCTGTTTACCAAAGCAGTTTACTGGCTAACTTAGGGAGCACACTTCCACATAATTTCAACTGAAATAAATGGACACAGAGTCACATCAGCACAACTGATGGCAACCATTTCTGAATGTAAAACAACCACAAATGAACACTTGAAAAGAATTCTTCTTTGGGCATCCCAAAGCCTCTTCTGTCCATCTCTAACTATATCAAATAGTCCAGTAAATGCAATTCCTGATGTAAAATTCTGCCTCAATTATAAAATTAAACTTTCATAGCTAACATGTATTAACTTGAAATAAGTGGGGGGGGCCACCAAGGGAAGACATTTACTGAAGAGTAACACATTTCAAGCTAAAACCAAGTGTTAAAATAGCCTGGTTTTTAAAAACCAGTGTCCCGCGGTAAGAGATGTCACAGAGTTATAATTTATAACACAGACTAATACAAGAAATTACATTCACTTACTTTTTTACATTTTGCTATGGTCTGTTCTTTCTCCCCACTTTTTTTCCTCTTCTTATCATTGACTTTTGTAACTCTTGTAGCAGTTAAAGTAATTGTCGTTGGTGTATGTTGAAAAGCAGTATACAGTTCCACAGGAACCTCATCACCACTCTCTGTTGCGCTGGTATCCCCATCTTTGAAACAAAGAATATTCTGTAAATAATCAAGTACTGCAGAAAGAACATTCACTAGTTACTCTACATCTGCCTTCAAACCCCAAAAATTCATACTGACAAATGCTCCAAGCACTCATAGGCAAAGTTGACCAACAGCTGCAACAGCATGAAAATGAAGAACCAATGAGGAACTGGTAATTAACAGATGTTTGTAATGTCAGGTAAGAAAAAGGTACCAGATCAATTCCATTTTTTTAATGGAATTATAGTACCACATTCCATTATAGGCAAAATTAGAATCAGAACAAAAAGCTTAAAAAATATATTTGTTAACTTGTTCTCTTATATTTAGCTTTTACTTGAAATATGGCATTAGGTGACTGTATTCTCAGATGACTGTATTCTAGAAGGGATTAAAATTAATGACTGATAAGCATTTCTTGTGAAGCCCTATTAATTAATCACATGTAAGTCATAATCAACTACTTCAGCTGCAATTTTCAGTATCAAGTGCTTTTTTAGGATAAATATGTCAATTTAGCCAAAAGCCCTTTCTACTCAAAATCCCCTAACAGTAACATTCTGCTACTTGGGGAAAAGAAAACGGATGAAGACATATGAACTGACAAATATTTTTTTCTTTGTGCTGTGCACTCAGAGACCTGAAGGCCAAAGCCTGAAATTTAGCATTCATCAGCATTTATGTCAAACACATATCCTGACCTGAAACAGGATTACCCTAGTTCTGTCAAGATGAAAGGCTGTGAAGGATGGTGAGGACTGGAAGAGAGATGGTGCACACAGATAAGTTCCTATGTGCTCAGTACAGATCTCTTGGATTTTAGCAGCTTTTCCAAATATTCTGCCTTCAATAAATACACTTCACACTAAGCAAAGCTTTTTCTCAAACTACACAGATGCCAGATTTACAAATAATATGAGAGGAGAGAAAACATTCCTTCTGAGCTCAGAAGGATGTTGCCTTAATCAGTGAACTCAACAGTCCTAATTCTTGAAGCCTTCTTTACTAAATAAAGAACTCCAGCTATTGGTTACTCTGGATTTTTCTTGCTCACAACATTCCTTAACAAGATTCTTCTGTGCATAGTAAACAATCCTATTTTACCATCTTGGTGGTTCTTTTCAACTATTTGTCAGGTACATAATTATGTTTTATGAATTAGGAATTGATGATGATTTCTGAATCTGTTTACATTTTTGCCGGGAATATTTTCTAAACCAGAATAAAAAGCACACAGAAAGAAGAAATGTCTAACCAAAGGTAAATGAACAGCAGAATAACCAAAGCCTGAGAAATAGAAACCCAAGGACCTCTTGAAATTGCCAAGGTCTGTAGTCCATACACTGATGCCTGCAGAATCATGATGTCACTGCCACACACCTCTCCCCCTTGCCCCAAACCCCACAGAACAGCATCTTCCTTAGGGAAGCAACATTTCAACATTGTTGTCTACACTGTGCTCTAACTTACTGTAAAGAATAATTACCTCAGCTGAACATATAATTACATAGAGTTGTTTTGGGACACTCCTTCCTAACCTACATAACCTGCTTTCACTTTGAAGAGCCTTAGTAAAGCACACTAAGTGAAGATCCTGAGTTTGCATGTCAGAAAGCAAGATACAAACTCTCCAAATTTCACAACATTATGGGCCCAGATTCATTTACCCATAGGCAGCAAGTGACCTCGACAGCAACAATTTCAAGACCAGGCAGCTTGAAGCAACATCCCTGAATAAGTTACACATCTAGATACTTTATCTTAAAAAAAACCAAACAAAACAAAAAAAACAAAACAAAAAAAGCAAAAAATAAAAAACCAACCAAACACAAAAAAAACCCAAATCCAAAACATCCAGTATTCAGCTGGGTAGGGGTTTAACAAAGGTGCTCCCTTCACTGAACCACAGTACACAATCCAACGGACAGTAAGCTGCATCAGAATTACACTTTTATACCAGAACAACAAAATCAGCATCACCACATACAGCCACAGGCTAAATATTTTGCCAGAAAAAGATGTGATGTGGTTACACACAGAAATTTAGGACACACAGTTTTGTATCATGTGAAACGTTCATCCAAAAGCTATTTTCTTGAAGCAAACCAACTGATTTACTACTTGCTCCCCACTGTTGCTAAACCAGCAATATTTTAGGTATCTTTACAATAAAGATACTGTACTGTAAAGAATTCCCATATCTAAATGAAAAGCCCTATATATACACACTCATCAAAAAACATTCAAATAATACAATCTTACTTTTTATCAAACACCTGTAACTTAATAATAAGCGAATTACAAGGAACATTCTGCTACTGTTGAATATTTAAAACATTGAAAATATGCATTTGAATTGATGTCACTTTTGCTTTTCCTAACTGGAATCCTCTATGAAAACTGGCCCTTTTACTGATGTCTTGTGATAGTTCATACCCAGAATCACTAAGTCCTCCTGAACTGTGTAACAACCATCAACATGAAGTGGATTTAGCCAAGGTACAGGTGCAAGCACACACATTCAAGTTATGTATTATAAATCACTGTAATCAACACTACACTTTGAGTTTTAGACTAAAGAGGAACCAGTATTTGTCTTTATTTTTAACTCTGGATACTTCAGATTTACCACTTAGTAATCTCTTTTCCTACTGAATGCATATAACAGATTTAAAAGACTCATCATCAGGATTAAGGAGGGTTGAACACTAACTTCAAAGGTACAATCTCTTCAGCTTCTGTTAAGATTTTCAATTTCTCTTCCCTTAAGTTTACTGTAAATTATCAGACAGTGTGCCTACAAATCCCAAGAGATGACTTAAATAGCTCAGACCATCAACTTCCCCCATCCTGTATGTAAACTCAAGTTCATCCTCACAGTATCATCCCATCCCTCAGTAAATGCATTAACTCCACATGAATTATAAACCTACTTGCTCTATTCTTTAAATAGTCAGCAAAAATAATTTTAAATTCTAAAAAAATTTTAGAAATTAAGTTTTGTTGACCTAGTAGGTTAACAAAAACTTCATAGAAGAAGTTTGGTTTCATTAAAATAAAAACAGAAAAACCACATGATTTAGTTTTATGAGTAAGACATTAATGCCTTTAACAGATTTTAGGCAGTTCAGTCCCAGACAACATCAAGTGTCAACTGCACCAAGAAGCACAATTAAGCCAGACCACACACTTCAGATTTTCTGAAGGTATGTGAAGTGGGCATCAGGACCTTACCTACATGGTATTTTTTAAAGAAATCTTAAAACACACTCCATTACTTTAGAGACACGATTTAAAAGTCAAACATGTTTAGGAAGATGACTTCCTCCCAGTTTATTACTTCTGTAATAGAGTCTGAAAGCACCACTGGTCAATCAAGACTTCTACAACACATTTTGGTAATGGCTGGACAGAACTCCTGACAAGTTAGGCCAGAGGAGTTTTAAAATTGTGTGAACGGGTAGGAGAGCTAATTTCATAAAACACATAGACTGAAGTGGGTACTTGTACTACAAGCCTCATCTAGTTATCAAAGGCAAATAAACTCTCAAAACATCATATTACCTACATCATATTACCCAAGCAACTGTTCTCATTGTCAAAACAAACCCAAAACCATACCAAAACATGCCCCCAATCTACATCCAACAAATGAGAATTAGGATTTCCTCAAAACTTCTTTTCAAAAAGAAAGTAGACTTAGAAATCCTCTCACCTCAAAAGAAACCCGAATGTTCAACAGATTGAATTACTACAGACTAATACAAAAAAAAAGTAGTTCTGACAGCCATTAACAAAACACATGGAACTATAACAATTCTGATACAATATTATTCTGGTAATAATACAGTCAAGTAAAAGGCATTGGTTTACTGAACCTTATATGCTGAAGTTTGTATACATGGTTCCTGCAGCTTTGACAGTCTTAAGTTTATACAGTTGATTTATATGTATAAGCTTTACTGAGGAAAAAGCTTTTAAGTTCTACTCACCTGACATATTTTCCCTTTTCCTTCGTTGCAACAACACTGCCCTTTCTTTATCTAAACTCCTGAAATGAGAAAATAAATCAGTGCATCTAAGTATTAAAACAGATCTTTACCATTTCCCAATGACTATTACAGAATAAACAGTAAACTAACTGAATGTTCAGATACTTAGAAAAACATCAGTTGTGCACTGTTCCATTCCGTTTTGATGGAAGGCACATACACGTATCCAAATCACTTCAAAACAAAATAAAATTTGACACTCAGAACAGAGACTGACAGTTGGTCCAGGGATTACAGATAAGCAGGCATTACACCCTTTTCCTGCAGATTCTTCAGAACAATCATCACAATACAATACTGAACAAATATTCTACGATGACAAGGTCCAAATTACTTCTCAGAAAAAAAAAGAACAATTTCCTGCTATTTAAAATTTTCTGAACACGTTTTTTTTGCTGTTTAATTAACAATCTGCAACATAAGCAACAGCAGCATTTTATACTCTACATCACAGGACAGCAACTATGATGACAGTCAGGTATAACCTGCCTACCAGAGTCAGAACAAAAAGCCCTCCTTGCCATGTCATATGACTGCAAGTTGGGGAGAATGGAGGGTGGTGGTGGGGAGAGGGGGAGCACACGCAAGTACTTGTTCCAGAGCAAGAAATCCTCCAAGTGATCCCTGCAGCATATTAGAACAGGGCCATAACCTGAGAACACTGCTGTTAAGAGTTCTTAATGTATGACAGCCATGAAACAAAATATGGAATGGACTGTCTGTGTGTCAATCTGCCTGAGAAAGGATCCAGGAATCACTGCTATTTTCATAAGCATTTCAAGGGTTTATTCCTGCTGCCTAGTGAAGTGAAACAGTGACTACTGTGCACAAGGGAATGGAGGTTGGTAAGACTGCCTATATCAGAAATGTAGCTCTTTAACTAGAATTGTCAGGACTATGCTACATGGTCTGTTTTATCTGCTGGTTGGTAGAATAACCAATTTTGTTTTCCCCAACAACTCCTCTTTTTTCATATCTCTACTCAATCCACTTTAATTCAGAATTCAAAATAAACCAAACTACTCACCTGGGTTGACAACGTTCACACAGATATATGTCAGGAATATGCTGTCTGTCAATCCCCATACAGTCAATGTGCTGCCAGACACTTTTAGGAAAAAAAAAACAAAACCTCAACTTCTAAGCACAATTTTAAAAATTATGTGCACAACACACAGAGACAGAAAGCAAGCCCTTCTTTTTTTTTTCTCCATCATTTTTGATCTTTACTCAAATTGAATGCCTATATCTCAGTCACCATCTTTGCCACCAGTCTGCCAGCTGACCCATTTTCTCTCCTGGAAATTTTCCTCTAACACCAGAAATAAAATGGTAAATTATCACAATAGAGAGCGAGACAGACGAATACCCTCAGCAATAACACTTATGCTCCACAGAGCAAAAAGTGTTTTGTTTTTAAACAAAAGGATTCGATTTTCTTTTAGGAATAGATATGTACTTTTATTTTTATATACAGAAATAAACAGAAAGATATGGGTTTATTTACTTACATATTTTAAGAGAACATATAAAACATACAGCTGGCATGACTGGTAGTACCGTTGTGCAGCACAGAAAGAGCTTTAACTGATTCCCACAGTCAGGGAAGAGAGGTTGCTTGCTGAAGGCTAACCTAAACCAGCAGTTTGTGCTCATCCCCGCATTGCTAGAAGGATCAGGGACACAAAAATCATTATCTTCCCAGTTGTGGATTTACCACAATTCTTTCCAACTCCTCACAGATAATTGCTTCTTCAAAGGAAGCAGACTGACTGGTGACTGCCTACAATTGCACTGCTGAGAGAACACCTTAATATGGTTCAAAATAAGGGGCAAAGGTTATCAGAATCAAGGACCATGAGAAATGACCAACAAGTTTGTTACATAAGCAGACAGAAAAATGGAACTCAAATTAGTGTTTTAATTAGCTGTAACAATCATTAAATACGTGAAGATCTAATAAATTCAGCAGCGTTCATTAACCATATTGAATGCAAAAACAGAGGCTAATATTTAGTAGAAACATGAGATTTGTCTTCTGATAATTTTCCAACTCCAAGTATTTAACAGCAGTCTTCCACTATACTATGATCAAATAGGTGCTTACACATAATGACAGAAGTTTAAACATTTAACTTCAGCTTCTCCAGTAAGAATCTACGTTAGTCTTTTCATACTTATTAAAAATTCTTAAAACTATATCCTTTGAAAATTAAAGAGTTCTTATCAGAAAGATCATGCACAGAGAAATCAATACTTGAAAAGCTTATTTCATGTTATTTTGCATCCTTCAAGTTACCTGATTTACACACACATAATTCACCAAGATGCTTTACTAGTACATGCAGATGAAGTGATTCCTAGGTCTTTGTTTTATCATAGTAACAAACAACTTGGACAAAACACCAGAGAGACATCCTTTTTAGAGGGAAAAAAAGATATGCCCTTATTAAGCTGTAGTGCACAAGTAAAGGCATGAACAAAAGAAGGGGTAGTCAAGACAGACTGCAATAAAGTATAAAATATTCACTGGCCTTAATCAGCTGTCTTACCTATTAGAAAAACCACATAACCTACAAACTCTTTTTTGATAGAGGGAAATTCCCTGTCCCTGGACAGAATTAAAACATCATTTAGTTACACTTCCTTCAGTGCAGCTTGAAATTTTAAGTAATTTTTACCTTTTAAATTATTTTAATATTCCTTACCTGCATTTGTCACAACAGATCATATATCCATCATCATGTGTAAAGCCACAAATGCATCTGGTAATATCAGTTCCATAGCTTCCATCCTCTGACGTACTGATGGTAGTAGCACTGGAGGTTTCATCAAAGTTGGGAGTGGTAAATATGCCTACTTCATTCTTGCTTATAAGCACTGATGGAGGAGGAGAAGCTGGAGGCGTTGGAGGAGGCCGAGCACCATAGTTATGGTCCTAGATTTTTGTTAAAAGATAAGTTATAACAACTCATAAATGCTCATACACTGATGGTTATTCAAGCCCAAGTGTATTAATTCACTTGGCAAAGAACTTTAGAGAGTTATTTTTTAGTGAAAGGTTAAAATTTTATTTCTATCATTATTCAATCTTATTTTCTAACTTCTTAACTATGTTTAACATGTAAGTGCACTATGTTCTGTATTCTACTGCTAATCAACCATCTTTAGTCAACCTACCCAGCTCCCAATAAGATATAGAAATATAAGCATGAATCAGTTTTCCAGCTAAGAACAGCAGATTTTACATAATATATTTTGTACAGAATACTTAGCACAAAACTTACTGCATAGGGCAAACCAATGTAACTGTGTGAATGCGAGCTGCTGGTATACAACTGGTGCGGATAACTGTTCGATTTTTCAACTACCACAGGGCTAGCTTCTACAGATTCTGGTCTGCAAGGCAAAAGACAGATGAAGAACAAATGCAATTAGTATGTAATTTATATTAATAAATTGGAAGTATCTGCTGCACAACTTCTAATTAATTCCCTGCTGATTCTGTTTAAAGGCGCATAGAGGGGCAGGAACAAACTTGCACCCCTCACTCAAAAAAACCCAAAAAACCAACAACCAAAAAAACCAAGAGTGGTAACAGAAAAAAAAAAACCAAACCACACTGAACAGTAACAGAATCTGCAGAAAGGAATTGTGACCGAGGACTGAAGCTGCAATTCCAAGCAGTGCTCATGGATAGAGCCCTGCAGTGACACACAGTGGCAGTGACAGGGCACCACCCACACCTACTGTTTCCACAAGGAGAAATCCTAACTAGGGCAAATCTATCTAAATGAGGTAGTTTCTATCGATTTATCTTTAAATAGAAAGAAAAAAAGTGCTAACAATTTGTGAGAGAAGGTTTTGTAATCAAAGGCAGGGCCTTCTTCAATATACAAACTATGTGTCATATACACTAAACCACAACATGAAAGACAAGAAAGATAAAGGAATACTAAAACAGGAACAAACACAATTTGAGCACAAGAAATTATACCTTTATTACCTTTCTTCAGCAGTTACATTCATGAGTGCATGCAACCATACTCTCATGACTGAGAGAACTTGAAGCTTTTTCACTGCACCATACAATTTAATCACAGTAGGACAAATGAATCCAGGTTACCTAAAGTGCCTTTTTTTTTTTTTAACACTGAAAGGCATAGCAAAATATAAACATCTAAAACTAAGGTGCCTTTGACTCCCATCACAAATCAAGTCTGGTTCACTTTTCTAATTTTATTTTTATTAAAATTGAAGTCTATTTCCCATCACATATATCTTACTAATTCCTTGAGCTGATTTTGAAAACAAACTCAGTATTTCTGAAAAGGAATAGAGACTGATTTTTTTTTTCTTAGACACTAAAATATTTAACAGAGGCTTTGTTATGCCATGAAACTATACTAGCTTGATTTGAAGGACACCAGCAACTTGTATTTGTTGGTAATATGTTTTGTAAAAATATAATTAATTATTAGCTTTCTAAAAACAAAATACAGTATTTTGACATCTATTTGAAAGTGTTCTACTAAAGGTTTTTGGTAGGTCCTTTCCTCTTATGAGCTTTTCCCCATGTGAGATTACTACGTGACAGAATTGTTTAAAAAGAAACTCTATTTAAAAGCACTACTGGGTAAAGACTTCAGTTTCCAGAGTGCAAAGAAAAAAACCTTTTTTAAAAGATCAGTGTCTCCAACAGTCATCAGCTGTTTGTACAGAGTGAGCAAACGCGTGAGCACACAAATAATATGAAGTACTAACGTTAAAAATACAACTTCTGACTAGCATGAGACTAACTCTGACAACACTTGCTCTTTGTTACCTCATAAACCCCCAAAAATTCTCATTTACTTTCCTATACCACTTCACAACTTGAAAATATGAATTTATTCAGAGTTTGCTGGAATTAGCTTCTAGAAGCAGCTCAGAACTTGCCAGGTTTATCAAACCCATTACTACAGAAAACCACAAAAGATGAAAAAGCTGCACCTTTCCAACCAATTTGCCTTCACCAACATAACACATTTGGGTGGTAATCATACATCTGTCACCCAGTTAATCCTTCTGATGATCAAGCCAAACAAAATGCCAATGAATGAGGCATTATCTCCCCTCTATCATGGCTAGGTCAGAAATCAAGTTCTCTTTCTCCTGTACATGAGAGTCTTGACCACTGCATCGCTTCTACTGCTGTTCTTCACCATCTGAATGAGACAAGTGGTAGCAAAGTTACTCTTACCCACTCTGCCTTCAATGCTCAGCCTTGGTCTTGTTGGGATGAACTCAGTTTTCAGAGCAGGAAGGCTTACTGATACAGGACAGGCAGGGGGAATTCTGGTACAATTCACCCTTCAGCAATGCCACAACTAATTTAGGAGAACTTCCTTCATTAAAAATAAGTATTACTACGACCTAAATACCATCTACTTTAACACAGGAATATGCAGTGAAAGATGCCAGAATGAAAGTGTCCTAAAAAGAGAGATCGTGTATTTCATCTAGTATCTAAAAAATTGAAAAGATACTCTAAAACTCTTGCAAAATCTGAGGCAAGACAGTACAGTCTCCTCCCTAAATCCATTTCTACCTACTCTAGCAATTTATAAACCACTTAAGAGAACAAAGTTTAATATTTAGAGGCAAAAGTTATATTAAACAAAGTTTAATATAAGAGTTGTGGGTAGCAGAAGCATTAGGCTTCCAAAACCAAAATACATATATCTTCAACTATTTAAATACTCATAAAACAGATTCAGATCACAAGGTTAATAAGGAAAAAGCACAGCTTTACTTGAACAAGGAGAATCAGGAAAACAGTGAGAGAAAAATCAGGTGATACAAAAAGGCATTTCAGTATTTCATTAAAAGAGCTGTAACAAATACAAATTTAGAGCACAGTCGGCTTATCTGGGGGGCACAGATACTACTTTAATTTATAACAGATGCTCACTAGAGCTGTGAACACAACTGCTGCTGTTCCATTTATCCACTACAATGCACTGGGCTGGGGAAGGAGGTGGCAGAGCATTCACTGAAGCCAGAAATTAACCATCACAGGTTTCCTTTACAGTCAATAGAAAAGTGATAAGGATCCCATAAGCAGTACAGAATGAGTATCGTTTCTCCAGAGAACCACACACAGAAGTAACTTTGGCAGACAGGTCACCAAATTCCTTATCACCCCTGTCACGCCCACCATGTGCATGACCTTAAAACAGAAAACACACATTCTACATTACTGTTTGTTCAAAGGTCAAATCTTTCTTCTGAAAGGAGCATCTCAGAATTGGACATTTAGAGAAGGAGTACCTCTTGGTAAAACATCTAATTGCACAGATGATTAAAGCATGATATAACACTTAATTTAAAAATCAGGTTTTAAATTTTTTGGGGGCTCAAGTAGCAGGGCCCAGGCAGCAAGGCAAAACTACTTTATTATACACTCCCCCCCCCTCACCATTGGCATTCTTACAGGCATCCCGAGAAGCAAGTTTCCAGGGAGAAAAGTGTAAGCATTCAGATCTGTGAGAACACTACAAGGTTTTCCTTGCTTGCATTTTTGGACATAAGCCAGTTCTGTAACAGACTGAGGTACTAAGCCTGTAAGCCTTCTGATCATACCACATTTTTCAGCTTCACCTCAAACAACTACAGTCTCAGTGTCTAACTAAGGCAGATATTCATGTTATTTTTGGTATTCATCAAAACTGAAGTGTCTGCATTACAATATATCTGAAGTTTGACCAAAATACTAATATCATTTCCTAAAATAAACAATCATTACTGTTATAAACTGCCCCTCATATTTTGCTAAAATATCATATATACTTATTAAGCACTGTGGTTAGCAATTCAAAACTGTGCAAAATATTCACAAGGAACAAAATAAAATGCTCCTAGGCTGCAACGATTTAAGAGATTCCTGTAACCTGAAAACAGGAACATAGTATTTTATCAAATCAATTAAAAAAGGAGAGATGCCTGTATTTTAAAAAAACCCAAGAAATAAAACTTCACAGAATTTTCATTCTGCAAGTGAAACAACTCATGTTCTGGGTCATTTCTGCATGTTGCCAGTAGATGGCATTACTGAGAAATCAAAAACAACACGAGAGCAGTTTACCAAAACAGTCCCTACAACCTTATACTTAACCTATACTAAGGGAATCAACTGTCAGCGATTAGAAGCAATTGTTCCCTAAAACGTGACCTCCCCTACCCTATTCCTTTGAATTACTGCTTTGTTTCTGACCATTTAATAATTTAAAAAAAAAGTGTGCTGGTTTTGACTAATACCCAATATACAATCAGTCCTTAGAATTTGGGGCTATTAATGACTTCTATAAAAATGTACGTGTTCAAAATCTCACTAAGAACTCAAATATTCAAAGCCAAGGGGGTATCCAAACTTTAGGCTATGAACACTTAACTAACAGTACTTTCTGAAAATGTGTCAAAACTCTAAATGGAACCTTCTGCTTTCACACATGCTTCAGCAACATCAATCTGCCATATGCCAATTGATAAGTCTGATTTTCAAGTTCAGGTTTGTTTTCCACTCGTACCAGCACACCTGAGCAGTATCTGCCTGAAGGTCATCTTAGATAAAGGAATACAATATATTTTGTATGACACTTCTAACCAAACACATCTGACAGGATTCAACATCTAGACAACAAAGAACCAAGCACTGCTCCTCTACCAGAGAGTTGGTTCTGCTACCTAAGCACCTTGTAGCAGGCTCTGCAAGTACAGGCTGGCCTGTTATCGTCTGTACGTAGGACTACAACAATGCTCAGAATTTTTTCTTAGGGATACTGAACTCAACACAGTGATCTGTATACTGTGACTGTGAGGTTTATTATACAGGCCTTCTATCTAAAAAACATATACAGATACTAAACCCAGAAAAACAGTACCATCAATGGCATTTCCCAATGTGTAGCTTATACTCATGCTCTAAGCTACACTAGTACTCTCTGCAGTCAGGAAGCATATTTTGAACCTTCCCAAATGGCTGGTTCTGCTATTGGTCCTTACCAGTTCAGTAGTCACACATATTCATTGTCAGTAAGATCTACAAATTAAAGCAAAATATGTGTGTTCTGACTACTGCAGTATTATGAACATCTATCTGGAGATCCCACTGAAGCACACATAAGAAACAAGAGTATTTAATCCAATTTTTAAGATGTTTAAACCTTTTAATAAGTTATTCTACACATACCTACTTGATACAATTATTAAAATAATATGTGAAACTATTAGTCACATAAACTGTACACTTTTTTTAAGAGGCTTATGTCTTGGTTCAAAGCATAGGGCAGAATCTTTTAGCAGAAACAGTACTAAACAAAGAGCATTTTCCTGGGCTCCTTCTCCTGCATAATTGGGTTTGCCACTCCCCCATTCTTGTGTTTGCTCATGCTTCAGCAACTGATGAAGCAACATCAGACCTGCCGGTCACAGTGGAGAAATTCCAACTCTTCCCTCTTGGGAAAACCCTAGAACTTGCTTTAAGACCATTTATGACTGTTATTAATACAATCTATATCCAACACGCTACTCTCTGGAAGAAAATGTACAAAAAAAATATATAAGTCATGTAGATGGTGATAAAAAAGGTTTACAACTGTGTAAGCCAGTAGGTTAGGGACACACCTTTCTGTCACACTTCTTTAGACTCTGACATGGCTTCTGAATCAGCGTAAGCCAATCATACAACTACTACACATATTTCAGTGTAAGTACAGCACAGATGATAAGAATTAATCTAACTGGTAACAGTCACTTAACATCTGAAGAAAAGCAATTCCTAACTGGGTTGCTCTGCCACGGTATCAAGCAAATAACACACTATGAACTCTATCTTGTTTATACTGACAACTATATTTATTTATTTTAATTCCAGCATGGCATGCTGTGTCTGCAAGGAATGTTAGCAACCTCAGGAATCATGACCTTCTCTAAACATAAAAGTACAGGAAAAGATAATGAAAAGAGTTGTGAACAGTTCACTAAAGTTAAAAAATCTTCTGCACCAAGGTAATTAGTATTCATTATATGAAGAGATAAACAAAACATTAAAAATTTAATGTGACAAAAAACTGAACTGCAAATTCTTGGTTCTCTTCAGAGAAATGGTGTAAACTTAGAATAGCCTTATATATAACTGGAAACACAGGAGAGAAATATTCCTTTTAAAAGCTGTTCAAGAGTTCTGTTCAAACTTTTTGTCAAAGTTTGGAAGAAAAACACTTCTTAAACAGATTAATATTGCTTAGCACATGCTCTCAAGGAAAGATTGTGTGCAAGCTACTGAAATTTGTTATCCAATACACCTATTCAAATGTTTTATATTTATAAAAAAATCTCAAGCATGTATGTAAACTAAAAGTCTAATCCATTTTTTCAGTATCTAATGCAAGCAAATGTATGTTTGTGGCAACCAAAGATAGGAAGCCTTTAACATTACTACAGAAAGGCTCAGAGAAAGGATAAGAGTAACACCATCTCAAGTGGTTCAAAAAAACCAAACCAAAACCCAATTCAATATAAATGATGAATTTCACATTTCTGCTAATAAATTCATGTTGGTCTTTTCATCTGTATATGCAAAGAAGTTACATGAGATTGTCTGTGGCTTACACAAACTATCCTGATCCTTAGTGTCTTTTGACACCCACCTCTCTTCCCCAAAGAACTTGCCAATCGTGCACTCTACTGATGCAAAAGCAACAGTCAGTGATCACCAATACCTAAACTGTAGCCCATCAGTACCTAAACCCTGACCCATCAATACCAGTGTGGTGGTGGGGGAAACCTCCCAAAAAAACCTCCCACAAAACAAACAGAAAAATCCACAAGTCCTCCCAATCCCCCAAAACACAAAAATTCACTCCATTTATTACATGCAAAGCAGAGTTGACTGAATTGAGGATTTCATTGGTTTTTTGTAACCCTTTATACACACTTACTAAGTAAATGAACGAGTAACAAACGAATTTCTATTAGGTTTCCAATTAGAAATAACTTTCTGAAGACATGGTGTTAACTAATTAAGCTAGGCCTTCAATTTTCATAAATAAAGGCACCTTTGTCTCAATTACTACCACTGTTTTGCAGTTTAACACACAACATTAATTTACCTTTCTAACATGCAAAGTCAAAAATATTTTTTACACAGTTAAAAAGGAAACTGAAATGGTAAGTATTTTAAGCATGAAAAACAAAACAAGCAGCATCTTTATTTCTCAGTCTGATGACCAAGAAAAATATGCATCTGCAGTAAAGTTTAGCTTCTCTGCTTTGCTCCCCCTGAAGAGGAAGGAACTGACTTAAGAATAAAGTGACAGTTATTAATTTAAGTAATTAAAGATTCAACAAAACTAAGGAGACTCCTAAGTTCTTTCCAACTGTATTCATAAAAATACTCACGAAGGAAAACACAAAAATAATTCACGAAGGAAAACATAAAAATAATTTAAAAATAAGTAAGAACGCTTACAAATCACGTTCACATACTTACTCTGAGCCTGCAGCCATTTCCAAATAAGAAGTATCTGCTGTGTCAACCCCCAATGGGATCACTATGCTCATGACGTTCGTTTCTGATAAATTCGATTACTACGGAGTCCTATGCATTGGTATCCAAAACACTGGGGCATGCCAGCCACAGTGCTCATTGCAAACATCTAAGTGCATCCACAAACCCTGGTAAAAACAAAACAAAACATGCAGGAGACTGAGTCAGTTTATTTTAAAACCAGGCAATTTTACATCACGTTAATTTTAATAAAGAACTTATCACCTGTATCTGTCACACTTATTTCATTAGTTTTATTTTACACAAGCAAAAGGAGAGGAAAACATTGAATTTCAATCATCTTTAACAGTTAACTTCCAATACACTTCTTTTAAGACTGTGATGATCTTATTGTCTGAACTTAAAAATATTACAAACTGACAAAAAATATTATCATTCAAATTTGTGATTAAAACCCCCACCATATTCAGGGAGATGACAGACTCGCTTTAATGGCAGATTTACCAAACATGAAGTACATCTGCTTACTGCCCTATGCTGTCAAAGCCCAGCTGCTGTACACCTTTCAACAAAAACCCAGTTACAGAATTTTTCAAGCACATCTTAGCATTGTTCACTTTTATTTTGTACTTTAAAAAACCCCAACTACTCCATGTCTTAGCTTCCATTCAGTATTTTTTAAAGCAAAATCATTCTAATGATTCACAATAATGAAAAATTTTCCATCTTATTTTAATAGATTGCCACTAAAAGATGTCACACCTTTGGTGTCACTTTTAGAAGTTATTTTTTAAGTAGTAAAATAAAAAGAATCAGTAGTAGTTTTTAATTGTAGAGCAAAGGTACAATCTGCTTGACTTGCATGAGCACAATGATTGCCAGCTACTACCAGTCTCCCACTTCTCTTACTGCACAGGGCAGAACACCCAGCCAAGTACAGGAGATGTAAACAGCACCTCAGCTACTCACAGATTAGTCAACTAATGCACTTTTACACACTAATATAGACAAGGTTTTCCACTAGTGACTAGTTAATTGAAGTAAAATAGCCCAATAACTTCTGTACTTACATAAGGAGCAAATGCAAACTCCTTCCAAGATGTCAAAATTGCGAGAACACAAACCATTCACTTGCAATGAAACACATACAGTACCTACTGAATACACTCCTCTCATACCACAAAGTCTATAAAAGCCTCATAGTTTTGAGATCAACATATTTTAACATGCTTATCCTTGCCAAACACTAGATTGCCAAGAAAAAAAACTAACAAGCCTCCAGTGTAAAATGGACTTCAGACAAGCATTGTGGAATTACACTTGATTTCTTCAGGGTGATGAAGTGGCACGTACAAGGCATCTCTAAAGTATGAGATGGCAGCAAGTCTTCATTTTACCTCCTAAATTCTGTAACCCTACTGAAGTTTGGCAATTAACATAAGAACATGCAGAGATGTTTGAAGTGCCTAAACCTACAGTTCGTTCTCCTCTAGACAGAAAAAGTTGTGTTTTGGTCCTATTACATGAGACACCAAACACAATGAACTGGAAAGCAGTCAGGCCAACCAACCATAGGAGTATTTTGCTTTCCTCATTTAAACACTGACCATTTTCTTACTAAATACCACAAATAACAAACTGTATCACTAGCTATGCATAAAATTAAGAAAAACCATACTATTTTCATGAATAAGCAGAAAGAAAACCCCATTAAACCAAAAGCAGGTACTGAGTATTTCATAGTAGGCATGAAAAAACCCCAAGCTCCTCCCAACAGTTTACATGAGCACTCACTCTGCCACCATATAGGTTCCTCTACTTGTAGGGTGGGACTCTGAACAGCCGTATCTACAACCTACAGGAACCATCAACTTACCATTTAGTTCGCTTCTTCTAAAAAGAGTAAAAAATATACCCAATAACTGGAAGGAAAACATACCATTTTTTAAGTCCAGGTAAATAAGCTATCCCACGGTTAAGGGCTGTTCCATTACTACCTGCAGAGTGACCTATGCTAACAAAGCATTAGCATAATGCAGTTTTTATTTTATACCTCTTATCAGGTAATTCCAAAAAAACCCAGTTTTAGTGTTTCAAAGTAGGTCCAAAAGACATATTGGACATCACTGCTTAAGATGTTTCTTGCACTTAAAATTGCTTTTTGTGGTGGTGTCATTTTTTTTAATAGCATTTTCTTTAGACACTTCTGGCCAGGTAGAGTAACAACGGAAAATTAATGTAGGCAAAAATGCCCAGGAGACTGATGGAAGAAAGAACATGCTTAGACAGCTGTCTCATGGGCTATGACATCTCCAAACTTACCTAAAAACAACTGAAGTTACCCAATCATTATATATTCAAGTGACCTCCACTGTCAATGCAGAAAGAAGAGATCTGGTCACCAAATCTGAGAATCAAGTAAAATTTGACATCTTTCTTAGAACTAATATAGAAAAAGAAGAGCTATGCATATTTTTTAGAGCAACGTATAGATTGGGAATTAATTGCTAATGCATGGCCCAATTAATGACAGTCTCTGACAAAGCAAATACATCACCATTCTGGTAAAAAAACAAAAAAGAGGGGGAACACAGCCAAGACTAACTTTTTACCCTATGGTAGGCTATTCTGACCTTTGTCAGAATTCACTCAAAAATTCCAATAGCCTGACCTAAATGGAATAAAAGCAGAAAACTGAGGAATCAAAATTTATTTTGCTAAACAGCATTAAACAGTTTTTTTATCTAAAAGGAAGTAGAACATGATGGTAATATTACTTCATTATTTTTTACCACCCTTCATTGCACACACAAAACCCTCTAATGCTTCTTTTTTGCCTACAGTTAAGTATGGAAGAACAGAGGCAGTCACCTGCTCACAACACCTACACAGCCAAGTTAATTCAAAGGAATACTGCTCGTTATTTGTGAGTAGCCATCCCCAACAAATGCCTCTAATGGGGGTGGGGGGGATCTAGGATAAATTAATTACACTACACCCACTTATTACACAGAACTGCGACCTTATATATAGGCCATCCATTTATGAACACCACAGTGATATCAAACTGAGGATGATGGAAAGCAATTATTTTCAGTCAAGTCAGAACCAGAAGCATTGTCATGACGTACTAAAATATTCCCAGTATTTTTATAACTTCATTAAGAAAATAACACAACCACTGGGGAACTTTATCTATCTTAAAAGTGACTGTTTATCCTTTGAAGCTTGATATTTTAGATGAGTCATAAAATACTATCTGCTGTCATAATTTGGTACTTTCCAATTTCTGCAAGTACCCATCTATTTCAAGTAGTTATTCTTTCAGAACTCTGACAATCCGTCATCCATGGCCTTTAAGAAACTGTTTTCATAGGTGCATCCATTTAAATAATTGACCAGGAGTAGAAAGAAGGGTGCTACAAAAGAAGTCTTCCTACAATCCAAGCAGTTTATACACAATTTACTGTTTAAAAAAAGTCTTTCTTCAACAGTACATGAATTTGAATGTTAGGAACGCCACACTGGTTTGCCCAGTTAATTTCAGGGTCATACAGCTAAAAGCCACAATATAAAAACTGCTGGGCCAAAGTTCATTGATCAGCTCTTTCTGAGGAAAGTAACTTATCTACTGTACCCTAATTAACAAGAGTAGAGGTCCTCCAATTTTGTTCTAGTCCACTCTATTCTTTTAGTGATAATACACTCTAAGCTTTGAAAGAATTTTGGCAATTTCTTAGATTGACCAAATTTTCTCATAATCACCCTACCTATATGAAAAAAATATTCCTTATTCAAATTAATTTTGCTTTTACTTAATTGCAGTAAAAGTTTATCTTGCCCTAATAGTACCATTTTCATCTTAAAACCTAAAAAGCTTTCTGTTTAGTGTGGTTAAACCATTTATTTTGTGCAAGATCAACCTCCTGCCTGAAACCCATCACACTTCACCTCTCATTCACATTGGTTTACACTTTCCATGGCACGTTTTCTCTCTAGAGAATACTAAGGGGCTTCTTGACTTAGCTGTATCAAGTCTAAAATATGTGAAGCCTCACCATACTCCTCATGATCCATTTTCTGACACGAGAACTCTTTTTTTTAAATTAATTGTGCTCTCACAACAGAGAAGCACAATACATTCCAAAATGTTCATCTCTGTGGCTTTGTACAGAGAACATAATTTATGCATTAAACAACGGAAAATAACTTACATATTATCCCTGAGGTATTCCACTTACACAACATTAATCTGTGGTCTAACAAAGACCACATGATTCTTTTCTGCCACGTCCTTCTAAGATCAACTGTGTCACATCACAAGAGAAAACCTTTTCACTGGTACACAGCGGAGGAAAAAACCCAAATTCAGCTCTTGAATCAGAAGGTAAATTGTAATCACCTGAAGCTACACCAGTAGTTTTGAACCTAATCAATACAGGATCCAAACATTCAAAATGAAACCCACTTGCCATGCTCAGATGCTGGCAGAGGGAACTCCAGGCCTGCTTATCAGCATTATCTTTCTCCTCCTACTTTCTTCTTGTAGGACCATCAAACTCTATATACAACAGACTCAGGAAACAAGCAGATGACAGATCACCTAGACAGAAAGCATACTTGAAAAATAAGAACTTGGAAGTGTAGCCAAACTGTCCAGATGACTCCAACAAGGTTTCATAATTCCAGCTATCAATCATCCTTGAAGTGTCAAGAGTCCAGACAAATTCTTCCAATGCATTTTACATGTAAGTTTCTTTTTGTTTCTTTTAAATTTTTACCCCCAAGAAGGCAGAAAAAATATTTTTTTCAACATTTACCTACTTTCACTTGTATTTTCTTTAATAGATTTAGAAACTGAGTTCCCAGTTCTCACATTGAAACAGAAAGTAATAATATAAATCTAATCAGAGAACTCTAACTTACCTTTATTTTTACTAATCATGAAGCATATTTTTCAAGCCAGAAGAAATCAAGCAGTACTTGCTGTACTGTGAAAGGTACAGTCATTTGCTACACTGGTAGCTCACCTCTGCAAGACATTTAACCTTTTTTAAGAAGGGAGAAGAAAGGAAATAGGACTAAGAAGCCTCCTAGAAGCCATACTGTATGTCTAAGAATACTAAAGCTCTCATCTAGGTGCACAGACACAAAACTTTTCATAAAAATCAAAAGTAAGAGGTAGTGGCACCACCAGTAACAACTTGTTTGCCTTAGTGAAAAAAAAAAAATCCTGAGAAAACATTAATATATCAAGATAATATTATTTATAATACTTACAAAAATATTTTTTATTACAATACAGTGAGGGATTTTAATCCACAATTATGTCTAACACTACAAAAAACAAAGAAAGGAAAGAAATTTAATGAAAGGTGGTTTTACTATTCTTCATACATCTGACAGCTTTTTACACAGATGGTGTCACTGTTGCTTGTTTTTCATTTGCCATTAATCAATTTTCAGATTTGTCATGTGACAAATACGAAAAGCAAAGAGCATATAAAAGTTACTGAAAATACATTCACTACAGAAATTAGAAACAGAATTCAAGCCAAGGTGCAAGATAACATTTGTTTTCTAATTTATAAAGGGACATCAGTGAAATCACGAACTGAGCTTATGATTAAATTACATCCTACCTCAAATCTAAGTGTTTTCTCACCTACACAGAAGACTACACTAATTTGATTGTTAAATCACTTCAAGTTTCACATCACTAGGCATTACAAAAATACTGAGCCTTTTGTTACTGTTTTTATGACTTGAATATACATCTGAAGTTCTCAAAGAATTTTTTTCTGTCAATTCCATCCATTAGTCACCACCCGTCGACAATTATAAGATTAAAAAAAATAGTTTTTTGATAGTTTAGATGTTTCAAGACTTGGGAGATTTTATCACAGAACGTCTCTGCAAAGAGAATTACCACGACCTCCCTAAACACAGAATTTTAAGGACAAAAATCTAATTATAATTAGCCTATAATTAGGCTATTTAATGAGAGGAAACAGTGGTTTAATGTAAATTATTGTTTAGATTTTATGCTGCTGTATGTAATGTTACCTCAAAATCCTTAACTAATGTCACTACAGAAATATTAATATACTAACCAAAATACCATCTCTATACTTCCTCTACTCTGTATTTTCAAAGTCCATGTAAAAAATACACGTAACTGGAGCTAAAAAAAATTAACCAAAACCTTCTAACCTATCTATGTATAACAACTATCTTTCCCTTAAACCAAATGATATTACTTTAAATATATATTAAAAATACATAAAAGGTAGAAGTGATAATTTGTCCATATGTAGTAAACCGAGCAACTAAAACGTCTGAGAATTATCTGACCACCTAAAACGTTACAGCCTTATACAGTTCCCAACTTATGCAGCAATGGGCAGTGCACCTCATGTTTAAGCAGTGCTTATTTCCCCTGAGCACAAGTACAGAAGAGACTCTCTTCCCTAAACTGAGAGTACTGGCAAATCCCTTGCCTCACACCCTTACAATCCAGGCAAGAAATCAGTAACCATTTCCTGGAGCAGCATTATCAGAATACACAGAGTGTACATAAAGGCTCATTTTCACAGGATATGCACAAATCTTAAGGGAATTAACTTGAAACAACCAAGCAGACTCGTATAGTCAATTTTCCACTTGAGCACTGACCAAGGAAGAAGAGGAAGGGGTAGACTTACAGATAAAAATAAATCAGAGTTAAAACACCAATTATCTGCACGACAGTCTTGAGTCAAGCAAGACCCTCCAGTTCAACCAGCACAGAATGCTAATATGGATGTAACTTCAAGTCATTTGGAATGTAAAAGCAATCTACAGCACTAAGCCCAAACCAAAACTCTGAACTTCCATTTGCTCCCAGTAGAAAATTCATGGTACTATGAGTCCAGGTTGGCTCCAGAGTTACAAAGGATCACTCTGAAATTAATTTCCCATCTCAACAGGGTCTTTCAGGCAAGGTGCAAAGAGTTCCAAAAGAATATTACTGCTTTCAGACCTCTGCTGATTTCTGCAGATCTTAGTGTTACTTCCTAATACAAGTCATCTCAGGTGATAAAGACAGATGACCAAAAGGTAGTATTCTGTTTTATTGTGTTTTATTACCACAGCATGCATCTTTTATGTGTAAGGTGCATTTACTGAGAATGCAGCATAAACATTCTCTTCCTCCCTCCCTCTGGTTACATCATACGTGTACACATGTTTTGCAATCATGAGCAAAAGCAATTGTTGTCATGCTTTCCTTCAGATTTACAGGCCAACAATTTTAACCTGTGGTCCTGAGAACCACCCCTGCCCACAAGAAATCCACAGGAACAGATGTAAGGGAAGTCGATACATTTATGCCCTAACACAACCTATACAGGAGAAATTTAAGTAAAAATGCACATATCAATAGTTGGTCACAGTCCACACACACAGTGTGAAAAGTACTGTCCTGAACTGTCACAGAGCCAACAAACTGAGCTTTCCTACTTGGCTTCCCTGCCTATGTTTTTTTGTTTGTTTCTTTAGTTCCTTTTTCGTTTTTTATTTAAACTTTTTATTTTTAACTGAGGGACGAAAAAGAGAGTAAGACATTAAGATTTTACTAAATAAAACTGTATGTTTTGCAAAACTGCTGCTTTCTATACTGCTCTGAGCATTCATGTCTATACAGTAGTTGGGTTATTTGCAAAAACAGTGATAGAAACTGGCATTTTAATGGCATACTCTGAATATCCTTCAAATAGTGAACTACACGGTGTGTGTATGTGTATATATATCCACACAGAAGCACACAAATCTGGAAAAAACATGCAGCATACATATAGGTAGCATAAATACACCTATCAAAGTAACCAATACGTATTCATTGCTGTCCGTTTCTAAGGAGGTAACATCTTTAATCAGACCTAGAAGCAGAATACACGAATAAATGACTAATCTTACCCACAGGAAGTTTTCTCTGTTTCCCCTGACATGCTCCACAACTGTACAGATTTTGCTAAGAGACCAAGATGGATATCCAACTTCCAAATGTTACACCACTGCAGCTGCAGTATGAACTATGCAGGCTTAAAAACAACTCTGTGTCCAAATTCAGACCTTTGCTATTGTTTGCTGCTTTCTATGGTAACAGGTAAATTAGCAGTTTACTTCTAATTCGTGCCGAGACAAAAAAGAAAGGGGAGTAGAGAAAATAAGACACAATAAGGACACTCAAATATATAAATTAGGATCTATTAATGATCAACTCCTGCAAATCATACAGAAGAAACAAACTGTTCTAAAAGAAATCTGGTTTCCTATGTATTTTGTAGTTTGTGCCCAAACATTCCCACTGACCTAATATTCTCTCTATACCCCTCACAGCAGTTATCTTCCTCCTCATCTTCCTCATCACAATATTAACTGCTTCCAGCCTCACTCACGAGGCCCTCAATAACCTCCCATGCTCTCACAGCAACCTACACAGTCAGCAATCACACATCCATCTAACTTCCTTATCAAGTGCCCTGTCAGACAGCCAAAAAACCCAAAAAAATACCGGCTATGTGCTGGTTGAAATTACACACATGACAGATAACGGGTAAAATCATTAGGCTTCCTCTCCCAGCTTCTCCCAGGACACTGCTCATAGCTCCCATCCCCTTTTGGATTTTCATTAAGCCTCAGGCTGCTCCATGGTACTAAGTTCCTAACCCTATCAAATTTCTGTTTTATTGTATAACTGGTTGTACTGACACAGACCTAGTGATCATCAGACCAACCTGTTTAAGAAACATTGCTACTACAACCAACTACAAGGTAGGACGACTCCTCCAACTTTGCTTTTGAAACAGTGCCAATACAGAGTAAGAGCAAGCACAGTGAATCAACGAGTTCATTAGCACAGAATCACGGAACAGCTTGGGTTAGGAGGGATTTGAAAGATCATTCAGTTCCAACCTCACTGCCATGAGCAGGGACACCTTCCACATCAGGTTGCTCAGGGCCCCATCCAACCTAGCCTTCAACACTTCCTGGGATGAGGCATCCACAACTTCTCTGGGCAACTTATTTTGGCCTACTTATGAACACCATGAGACAAATGCAGGACCTTAAATTCAAAGACCTCTGTCACATTTGGAATGATAGCCAAACTTCATGAATTGGTCCTGAGTTTGGGATCTAGAACAAAGAGACAAAACCCCCTGCCTCCTCCATGGTACCCAAGATTTACACATAAAAGCCTTGAGTACCAATTCTTCAGTACACAGGTCATGCATTACACAGACTCAGGTCTATGAAGAGCGAGCCACCCTTTCAAGTATAAACCTAAACTCAGTCTGCCAGTTTAGCCAAGTTTCTGCCATACAGAAAAGCTGGTTTTCCCTGAGGAAGGCTATTTTCCCTATACTATCCGGTCCAGCAGTGCTGCTCTTGTGCATTCCGATGATGGAAAGTGGTATCTCTTCCTCAAATATTTATGCCAGTCCCTTAAAACACAGTAGACTTGCCCTTACCTCTTCTCTCTCTTCACTCCTTTTCTTCTCTCAGTGGAAGTTAGACAAAATATGGGACTAGGAAGAGAAAAAGAATGAGTGACAGAAAGGAAATAAAGGTAAAAGCAGTTAGAGAAAGAGTAAGGATTAGTTTATTGAACAGAAGTCAAGCAGTAATCAGGGATATACAGACCAATACCATGCTTAGAGATTTTAGACGTTGTATTTACAGAGTTCAATGCCCAAGATTGAAAATTACCTGCCAACTGCTTGATGTCTTTAAGTTTAGTAAAGACCTGCAGTACCTTGTAAAATAAATCACACAAACAAAGGCCTTTCCACTCAAAAATCATCAGTTATTTGAGCTGCAGAGTCAAGGAATTGCAAAATACAAAACAAGTACCACACATGAGAAGAGTAAGAGAAAAAAAAATACTTTTTGGTAGCAATATTGCTTATTGCTTAGAGAAGTATGTATTAGCTACCTAACATTAGCATGCTATAGTAAATCACTGAGAAATGTAAAATTCATTTAAAGAAAAATTCAAAACTTAAGAAAACAAGTAGTTTCCCAGTAAAAAGACCTCAGTTTTAAGTCATTCTTTGTGTTAGCTATTTTACTCCAAACGTTTATTTCTCCTTCTACCACAAAACGATAAAAAGCTGTTGATTAAACTTATACAAAATGCCTCTATGTGACTTACCAATTACTCACCAAAAAAACATTTACAACTATTACCCTAAACTATTATTCTTGACAAACATCCAAATATATAATGCATTTATGCAAGTATATACAGTCCATATTCTCTAAGAATATAAGTCACAACTGCAATGGCTAAATAAACTTATTTTTTATTAAATATAACAGTACATCTCATGGTGATTCAACCACTGGAAGCATTTAGTGACCAATATTCCCTCAAGAACTAAGGCTTTTGGGGTGGAAAAACAGATGGCTAAAAATATATATTTGTATTACCTTCAACAATCTAAATATTTTGCCAGCTTCATGTCATCAAATAAACTAATTAATTTGTTTTGTCTATGTTGCTTAGTAAGATGTGGGAGCCTGCTGTAATTATTAGCTACCTACTACAGAAAAAGTAAATTATTTCAAGTCTGACATTTCAGCTGAGCATGTTTCTGTTTTGACATGTTTTCATGTAGTAGATTCCAAAAAACAGTTCCCCTGTTTTATCAGTAGCATTTGATTTACATGAGCAGCTCAACAGTGCTCCTACATTTATTTGTGGAAGCAATTTGTAGACATTCACCTAATTCCTACACTTGCGCCTAGGAATCTAAACACAAGCAAGTCAGAAAGTCACACTCTTTCAAACACAAACTTTTAATTCTTTCTAGCAGTTAGAACTCTTTTGTGTTATTTTAACCAGAGTTCAACCTGGATTGTTGTTTTTGATAACAACTTGGCAGTATTTCAATGTTCTTCACAAAAATTTGGGGAGGAAACTGGCAAGTAGTAGTGAGAGAACAGATTGGGGGAACTAGAACATGTTCAAGGACAGATAAAAAAATACAGAAGGGTAAGATCAAAAGATCTTTCCTATTTTCAAGAAAACAAAACCCAATTTATTTCCAATTGCAAATATCTTGCAAAATTGTATTATTTGGGTAAAGTAATTCAGATTTCATGCATTTTAACTCTATAACTTTGTGTTGTCAATGGATTTCAGTATGTGTTTTTAATTGTAGTAACAGAGATATGAAATACATAATCTTTGAATAAGCACAAAGAAATTCTGCCCAGCAATGGAAGATCAATGCACAGCTTTTAATTTTCAATACTACTGCCACACAGAAGGGGACAAAAAGATACAGCACTTGGCTTTTATTTGTCTTTCAGCACAGCAGATATGATTGGAAAGTAAGGCAGTAGAGAACATTAAAAAAACCAACACCACAGTCATTCATAAAAATCCTGCATAAGGATATTACACATTCACATCAAGCATTCCTACTCAAAGCAAAAGAGAAAAAAAATGAAAATAATTAGTTGAATTACTTGGTAAAGCATCTGAGAGAGAAACAAAATAACTACTGTATATAAGGTATTCACATTTCTTTCACTGTTCTAGAATTATAGGTTCGGAACCCAAACAAGAGGTGTAATCTCTCTGTACCTTCCTCAAAAGCTATAAATAAGTTGTAATTCTTAAGTCTTCACCTTCAGTTTAAGCACAAGCAACTAAAAACAATCCTTATTGGAAAAGTTTCTTTAAAACAACAGTTAAAACAGGATTAACTGTCTAGACAAGGAATATCATCTGTCTTGTGATATGGTTTTAAACAAACCCCATTATAACCATTCTAATTAGGAGTTAGGTCCCTTTGTCTACTCAAGGCAAGCCAAGAGCTTGTTAAAAAGTATCTTTAGCCCTCCTCAAATTAGAAGAGTTAAAGACTAATGAACACCAGACCAATTTTAGTATTCAGAACTGCACAAGGTAAAAGATCCAAACCTACCATCCTGTACACCATCTGAAATTCTCAACTGGTCAGTACAGGCTGTTTCATCACTTTCTATGACTGATACATAACACTGACCCAAAAAAATCCTTGCCTCTGAATTGGAGAGACATGAATGTGACAGATGAACCCTTTGGTGGACAAGGAACTGGCTGGATGGTTTCACTCTTAAGAGCTGTGAGCTGTCAACAGCTCGATGTCCAAGTGGAGACCAGTGATGAGTGGCATTCTGGCATTCCTCAGGAATCAGTATTGGGACCGTTGCTCTGTTGGCAATATGGACTGAGTGCACTCTCAGCAAGTTTGCTGACCACATGAAGCTCTTTGATGTGGTCAACATGCACAAGTGAAGAGATGTCATCCAGAGAGACCTTGACAGGCTTGAGAGGTAGGCCTCTGTGAACCTCATGAAGTTCAGCACAGCCAAGTGCAAGGTGCTGCACCAGTGACAGGGCAATCTCAAATACTAATACAGGTTGGGCAGAAAATGGATTGAGTGCAGTTCTAAAGACAAAGACTTAGGGGATGTTGGTTGATGAGAAGCATAACATGACCCAGCAATGTGCACCTGCAGCCCAGAAAGCCAAGTGTCCTAGGCTGCATCAAAAGCAGTGTGGCAGCAGGTCCAGGGAGGTGATTTTGTCCCTCGACTCCACTGGAGCGCTGTGTTCAGCTCTGGAGTCCACAACACAAGAAAGATGTGGACCTGTTAGAGCAGATCCAGAGGAGGCCGCAAAGATGATCCAGAGGCCTAGGCATAAATCCTGTTAAGACAGGCCGAGAGAAGAGGGTTTGTTCAGCTGGGAGAAGGCTCTGGGAACACCTCAGTGAAGCCTTTCAGTACCTAAAGGAGGCTTATGAAAAAAGATGGAGAGTGACTTTTCACATGAGTAGACAGTGATAGATAGGACAACAGGGAACAGCTTTTATCTAAAACATGAGAGATTTAGATGAGATGTCAGGAAGAAATTCCTTACTGTGAGGGTGCTGAGACACTCAAACAGGTTGCCCAAAGAAATTGTGGATGTCCCATTTCTGGAAGTGTTCAAGGTCAGGTTGAATGGGGCTTTGAGAAACGTGATCTAGTGAGAGGTGTCCCTGCCCATGGTATAGGGGCTGGAACAAGATGATTTTGAATGTCCCTTCCAACTCACACCATTCTACAATAAGGGAACCAACAACAGATTATAAACCTTCCCTTTTAAGTACAATAATGTCATTAAAACCTAGTCTTATCATCTCGTCTTTGAACTCGACGGCAATTTATTTTTGCGTTGAAGATATAAAAGTAAATGATTACCTAGATTATAATGCCATAAAGTACACAAAATGCAACTGCAAAACGAGAATAAAATAAAAAAACTTTCCTTAACCTGAGCCTGCAATATGAAATTTTAGAATCTCCGCTACTGAAAGTGTTAGTTTAAAACTAAATTCTAAAACCAGGAACAATACTATTTTGGCAACTGCCTGATTTGCAAAACTGCTGGGCCCTTCCAAGTCTCACCTCGGTTTTACAACACTGCATCACCATCTCAGCAGTGTATGAACTATCACATGAAATGAGATAGCGCTCTTGCTATACAATGTGCAAAACCAATACATTCCACTCGCACAAAATGCAATCTGTGTGCTACTACAACATATTTTTCACTTGCACTTTTGAAACACATAACTTGAATGGACATCTCGTGATTTACCATAGTTCTTACCACTGTTTTAATTTTAAAAAATAAGATAACAAACACTTAAATCAGGCATGTTAAAAAACATACGTTTTGTTCAATAAAATTGTCTTCAAAGGCTTACAGATAACCTTAATTATTAAAATTTTCTAACCACCAGCAGAGCTTAAAATCTTGGCTGTTTCATTAATACATTAATATCTGCAAAAGGAAATAAAAATTATCTCAGTATCTCCTAGCAAGTATATGAAATCTTGAAAAGGTTCCTTTAAAATAATTTGTTTGTTATGCCTTAAAGGTAACAACAGTTTTTCTTTGAACACAACTATAGAAGGCTTTTTCTGTAGTAGGAAGGTCATGAGCAGAATTTTGGATCTTCAAAGACATTAGGTTAACTTTTGTGGGCACAATTCTTTGGTTACTAAGAAAACGTGAACACTGAAATACATAGAAAAATCCATCTTACACCATTGAAAAGCCCACTACAGTCACTATTTTAAATAATCCAGAATTTGGAAGAATTTAAAAGTTTGTGTTTTTTTCTTAATCCACATTCTACATCTGCTAAAACTTTTTTTTCCCCACAGATATGTCTTAAGTTTCATTCTTAACAATAAATCAAAACTACTATTTGCACAGTGAAAACATTTAAACACTGTACCTGTCCAAAAAACACTGTCCAACAAAATTTGCTTTTGAGAGATTCACAAATGCTCATCTGTATGGAAGTCCCAAGGCCAATAACATAGATGCAGTTCTTTAGGATCACTCCAGGAATCTAAATTGGGTTCTATTTTATATCTTCACTCATCTACATCCCCCCCACCAGATTTTATCAAAACGTCACATGACAACAGCAAAATACTTTCATTAAACCTTCACTTACATTAATCTAGTTAGAATAATACTAAGATTTCACAATTACATACACCACTCCTTAAATCAGTCCCACAAATAGTCCTTACTAAAATTAGTATTAGCATGCATGCAAAATTAAGACTGTCCTTAAATCAAACCGAGATCAGACCTGGAGAAACACTACAACCTTAAGTGACACACCGAGTTCTGGATTTCTGTTGCTTTCCAACACAATATTAACAGTGGTGTGTGCTCAAATTGCCCAAGAGGAAATTAGGAGCTGCATTACCTCAAAGTAACCTAAAGAGGTTACTCTAAGAGAAACTTTCCCCAGATTTAGTCTAAAGAGTCAGTATTATTTCTCCTCTGGAATTTCCCAGATGGCAAAAAAATCTCACCCAAAAGGCTAAGTGAAAGATAAGCCAACTTTTCCTTCAGATACGAAAAGCTTCACGATACATAAATGGTTTGATAACTCCAGTCCATATTATTGCATTTGTAACACAATGTTTGTCAAACAGAAGTCTGTCTTGAAAAAAAATGAAATTTAGATTTCAAACCTTCCCTCTTTCAAGAAGTTTGCATTAGTTTTGCTGGCAGGGTATGTCATTCTTTATGAATATACACATAGAAACACCAGTGGAGTACAAAATAAAGTAGAATTTGTTTTGTAGTGTTGTCTCCTTAAAACAAATCACAAATCTCTTTTTACAAATGGAGAAACTGAGTCATGAAGGCAAACTGACTCATTAAAACTCACACAGGAAAACTCTGAAGATCTCTATAAATTCCCAAGAGGTTTTTAGTGCATAAAATCTGGTAGTCTATAAAATAAGCTGTAAAATTTGAAAATTATTATTTTTGGTTTTATTTCATTACTCCCCCATCACTTTCTGTAAAGTGTACAAAATTCTTTCCTCCTAATTGTGAATCAGATGTCTGCTTGAGAACATGACTGAGGCCATGAAGAGCTGCAGAGCTGTATAGCCCTCTAGGTCATTATATCAGAAAAAAATCAAGAACAGGAGTTTTCAACCTAGGGAGAGGAAAGAAAAATGCAAAAGGTTTCCATAAAGGCCAATACGCTCTTTGGACTTTTATAAATGTATTTTTAAACAAACAGAGTAAGACATGGTTTATGAAAAAAAAAAAAATCGTATCTTTATAAATAAAAATGATAGGAGCATGCATTACTGGAGAATTAACAAAATCTCTTAGACTTTGGCCTCAGAACACACTAAAGGCATGCATTAATAACACCCTAGAAGTCTAATTACCTTACTGTTCAACTTTAGGTACACTTTAAACCACACATCAGTGCTTCTAAATGGTATCTAAATTAAAATTTTTCAGAGATTGAAGACAGTTTTTCCATTTCAATGCCTCACTTTTGATTGCTTAAATCCAGAAGGTTCTAAAGGTATATTGGAATAGGAATTCATATCATTAAGAATGAGATTAAAGATAGGCATTAAAAAAAAATAAATTTATTGTTTCTTAAAACATACAGTTGCAGCCTCCATAGTATGTACCAGAGTACACTACACCAACTACCAAATAATAAATCCTTGTGACCTCCCTTCCCCCCACTCAAACATATTTATAGTGGTGATACTAAAAGGTTCATATTTCATTTAGGAAAAAAATTAGAGCTTAGGAACTGCACCTTCTCTCAACATTTGGATGTGTATTACCACATACACAATTTATACACCAATACACAAAACAAATTGAAGAAAAAACGTAATGGTAAGATTACACGGTAGAAGAAATTTCACTTCTTAATAAAGTAACAGGTTATAATCTGGCATGCATTATTCCTTTAAGTATTAAGTTCATTTTGTATCCTCACACTAGGAATACATGGAATTACTACACTGATGTCCACCGAGGTTTTTCCTGGAAGGTGAACATGACGTTCACAAATGTGCTTCCAAAAAGAATTTAGCTTAGTGATCTTAATCCACTACTTGTGTTGATAAATATTACTGATTTTGTGTCGTTAACAGGACGGACAGATGTACAGTGTCTATCACAACCGCAGGGGCTTTTCCAAATTATTAAACTGACATACATATTACCTTACAGCAACATATACACACCCCTCGAAGGAGCTGCTTGAGTCTGTTGCCTCTTTCCACCCCCCTTCTCCCCGAACAGAGTGGTCTCGTTCACTTGCCTTTCACACACATAACCAATAAAATTAATCAGCTGGAACACAGCATTTTTAAATCGTAGTAAAGTCAAGAGATGTTTTGTATGTTATTTGAAGGGAACAGCCTTTTCATTTAAACATAGTAAGACTCTAATATGCTGCAGACAAACGCACTGCATGGGGTGTGGAGGACCCGAGCTGATTAGATTACCACAACATCAGCCTGAGGCCGCCATTTTTAGAATCTCTAAAGGACAAAAGAGGGAAATTAAAAAATTTGCTCCACATTTTTTTTAAAGTAACTTTAAAAGTATAGTGATGATTATCAATTAATCATGCATTGTAACTGAAGCCATGCATATCTCTTTCTTTTCACCGATCTGAGCCCTGAGTAACAAAAACGCTTCATTATTATTCTTTTAAGGTAGTGTAAATAAACAGATTAAAACATTCCTAAATCTAGATGCAGTACTGAACTTCTGCTTTTTACGACACGTAGTATGTACCATTTCAGGGGACCTCAGGGCTTTCAAACACCGCACATTCCCTAATGGCCGAGTATAGGGGAATAGAGGACCTTTATAATCAGGCTATATTATGTTTCTCTACCCTATTTAGTACTACACAGTGAACCGTTTGTTTTTCCTCCCCTATGTCTGCAGCAGTAGGGCCTAACCCACCAATACTTATCGCTTCAAGAGAGAGACTGAAATATGCCACCCAGGGAACACGAACACCGGCTGCAGAAACTAAAGCAAGAAAGGGATGCACCAGTGTAACTACTTACAGCCTGGGGAAAGGGGGTGGGGAGAATGATCCCCTTTTAAATTGGCACAGAAACTCCTGGGGACTGCTCTCCGTTTGTCCAGGTTACACCTCGAAGCGAAGATATTAACAGGGAGGGAGGCAGGGAGGCGGGGGTGTGGAAGGCAGAGAGATTAGGCCTATAACGAGCCATTTTAGTACCACAAAGCAAAAATATACAGGATGGAGGAAAAGAATAGGCTTCCCCAAGCTTCGTAAAACTCAATACGCAGTCCCAATAAGGCACAAACCCGTTCTGAAATCCGCCAGCCCAAGGAAGCCTATGTTGTCACATAATAGCTCCTTTTGGCTCATTTTCCAAGCATAATGCATAAATCTGGCGTAACTGCCAAAAAATTCTCCTCAGCTCCTCCAGTTACAGTAACCCGCCATATTCACAAGATATAGCGACAGCCTGCCATTTTTTAACCAAACCCCCACAAAAGGAAAAGCAAATTCAAGGCAACTTAAACAGAAATTAAACGCATTTCATGGTGGGAAGAAGTTATACTCGCACCGAGGATAATGAGACGTTCCCGTCGCATTTCATTCCCTTTCTGCCACCCCCCCTCCCCCAAAGCACCCACAGCAGAATATGCTGATAATAACCAAAGACTCACCTGTAATGGTCACAGGCCAGGCAGCAGGACCCCTCAGCTGAGCCCCTTCTCTATCCCAACCAAAACAATGCAACAGCCCCACTGCGGATATCCCTACCCTAGACAGGACTCAGCCCTCAGCAGGCTCTAGTAAAAGAAAGAAAAGGGAAAGAGGAAACCCCCCCTCCCCCCAAACCTAGCTCAGTGCGCAGAACCCTACAGGGACCAGCTCAGAGGCGCCCTTGCCCTGGGACCTGTGTACAAACCCCGCTGCTGCCGCCGCTGCTCCCGTGCCTCCCTCCCTCCAGCCTCCTACGCTCCCTTCTATGTCACTGCCTCTCTCTGGGAAAATGGCGTCCGCTCTCCCCTCCCTCCCCCTGCACGGGGCTCACCCGCCCCGCCTGACAGGGGCAGGGTTACCAAGGCGAAGCCAAACAGCCGCCATTTTACTTACGGGCCCGGAACGCAGCCCGCGCCCGCCGAGCCCTCAGTGTCCATTTTACAACACGGCTGAACAGCTCGGGGGGTCTGGGCGCGGCCGCGACACCAGACTGCGGCAGGGGCTGGGCAGGGGGGCCGTGAGGAGGGAAGTAGGGCAGCGGAGGAGGGGTGGCTTCAGCGGGGGCTGGCGCCGGGGGCGATCCGCAGCCCCGGCGGCGCAGCCCGCGCGGGAGGGGCGGGGGCTCCGTCGCGGCCTGTTGTGGGGCCGAGCGCGGGCGGGAGCGAGGATGTCTGAGTCAGAGCTGCATCCTCCGATGAACGAATGCCAAAACTCCCTCCTCGGCCGCTCTCCCCCACCCCGACCTCCGGCTTCTTCCTCACGACCGTCGATGCTCTCGGCATGCATGTTCTTTGTGAACCTTAAACTGAGCCCATTTTCGCCACAAGCTGCGCGAAAAGCCGGACAGACCCGCCGGATCTCACACACGCAGAGGAACTTACTGAGGGGCGGGGAAGAGGGGGGCGAGCAAAGAGCGGGAGCTTTGGCCGAGACCCGCTCAGGAGGTTTTGACTGAATCTCTCAGTAAGACACTCGAGGCTGAGAATCTTCCCCGAAGCGTTTAGGATTCATATATAAGGCAAGTGGGAGAGAGCTTCTTTCCTTAAAGCAAGTGGGACAGCACAACGCGTTTTGCGGGGAACGAGACGAGCAGCGAACGAGCCTCGTTTGCCCTTTAGGGAACGGCGCTCAGGAGCAGGAATAGCGTGCTTCCATCCGGACCAGCGGCGCTGGCAAAGCCAGGAGCTCGCTCAGCGTTTCGGGGCAGATGCAGCTTCTGCCATTTATACCAAGCCCTTCTTCCTGCCACCATATCTCCTCCCAGGTCCCTGCTCTGCCCGCACGCCGCCCTGTCTCCCCTGCCCGACTTCAGCCCCTCCAGCGATACGGCTGATTGAGGGAGGGGAGGCGGCGGCTGGGGTTTCATTCGACGCCCACCAGGGGCTGAGCGAGCCTCCTTCAGTGCGCAAACTCGGGGCACCAGATAAAAGCTGGGCTGGCAGCTCTTACCCTGCCTCGATGGAGCCGCAACATTCGGGTGACTGGAGAAGCAGTTAGCAGCAGCGCCATAGACTAGCGTCCCCCCACACCTTGAGCACAGAGAGTTTGGGGCTCTAAACAGCTGCTGCTGCGGCAGGAGGGAGCCGAGGTGAAGGGATCTGCTAGCTGGTTGGACGCAGAGGAGGCGGCTGTAATGGGGCATTAAGTCTAAGGGAGGAGGGGGGGCGATTAAACGTCTTGTGATCATGGCGGAGTCTATGGGTATTTTTTCCTGTCTAACTCTTCTGTGCGTGTGTCTCTTGTTTCTTTCTCTCTCTCTCTCTCCTTAGGGCGCTTGGCTGGGGCTGCTCGCTCGGGTTCTGCCTGTTGTTGCGCGAAATGGCGGCTGGCGTCTTGGTGGGTTTGGTTGTCGGTTTTTTGTGTAGGGTTGCCTTTTTTTTTTTCTCCTCTTCCCCTCCTCTTCCCCTCCCCGCACTTGTGCCTTGGCTGCGGCTCCGCAGCGAACCGCGGCGGAGCTCGAGTCAGGAGGGGGGCGGGAGCGGCGCGGCAGCCAATGGCCGGGCCGGCTGGGGTGGCCCGGCGCGCCCTGATTGGCTGGCGCTGACATCATCCTGCAGCAGGGGCAGCCGCAGCTGGGCAGGGTCGGGAGCTGCCGGGGGAGGCAAAGGGAGAAAACGGGCGCCATGATCCCAGCGCCAGGGAGGAACTCCGCGGGCAAGGCGTCCGCGAAGAGCTGGTGGAAAAGGAATGGAGAACCAGGCCTGGGCTTCCTCCCGAACAGTGCTGGGGCTGTGCGGAGAGGAGCAGGGGAAGAGCGAGAGGGGAGCAACTCGTGTCTGCCTTTGTAACTGCGTCAGTACAAGATGGCGCAGGGTGTCCCTGGAGAGGGAAGGGAGTTGCACGTCCGCCGGAGGTCATGTGACCGCGTTGCATTCCTGTGGGGTTTGGCTGCGGACCAAGCTGGCTTAGGCGGCGGCGGCTGCCCGGGACAGCCCGGGCTTCCCCCCCCCCTCCTCCCGCACCACGCCGTCGGTCCCGCGCTGGTTCCCTTCCCCCATCAACCTTGTGCACGAGGGTGTAGCTGCTGCCGAGGAAGGTTCTCGCTTCTCTCCTTACTCTCCGCCCACCTCCAGGGTGTAGCTGCTCTCGGGGGAAGCTTTCCATTCCGCCCCCTCTCTGCGCAAGGCTTTACCCACCGCCAGGGAAAGTTCCCCCTGGGCGCCTGCTGGCTCCGCCCGAGCGTGGGAGCCGGGTGCGCTCACGGTGGTGCCCGCCCGGTGCGAGGGCACTCTGCTCCCGGTTAGGCTCCCGGGGTCACGGAGTGGTTCCTACCGAAACAATCGGTTTAAGCGATGTTTAAATGACCTCATTAAAGCCGCTGAGGAAAACGCACAGGCTATGCGGAGTTGTTCTTCTGACGAGGAGGTCGTGGCTGCTCCATTGTTGCTCTGCCGGGACTACTGGGCGGGGGGGCCAAGGGAGAATCTGCGAGGTGTTCATGACTTTATTCTGTTTGAACAGGAAAAGTGGATCGCTGTTCTTTTATTTGTGTGTTGTTGGATCCTGTTGTAGGGTGTTGAGCAGCTTTTCTGTGGGGCGATGTGTGTATTCCGAAGTCAGGTCACAGGGGCCTGTTTCTATAACACAGGAATTGATGTATATACTTAGTGCAGATGAAAACTGTGGTTTGCGAATATTGTGAGGACTCCCCATGTTGTACTTTCTGAGGTTCATAGGCAAATGAACTCGTTACACAGGTCTGGGTAGGCTTGGAAGATTGGCAAATATATTTTCTGGGTCTTCTGTTTTTTAAATATTTTAATGCAGGGGAAGTGAAAAATGTATGTTTACCAATCCTAATGCTTTTCTTTAAGGAATGCAGATCTTACTGTTTGGGTGAGGTTCTTGAGCTTTCAAAGCCGTGCAGTGCCAGTTCCTATGTCTTGTTCTTGTATGCCACGGTGTAAATTTAGCCACTGCATCTAACCCAATGAACAAATTAACAGTTAAAATTGCTGATGCTTTAAGGGTGGAGATTTATTCTATTTAAAAATGTTTCACTTTTTCTGTTGTTAGTTTGTCCCCAGATAGATAAGATTTTTTTTCTTTTTACTTCCCCAGTAGTAAGCTGGTAGGGGACAAAGCTTGAATATTTCGTGAATGGTATTTGAGAACTACGGGAATGAAAGTAACAGTGTATGACTAATATAGAAGATTCCTGTATAATAGGTGGTCCTTAATATGTGTTACATAAGTAGTATGGCGAGGTGGAGTCCAGTTACATAAGAACTGACTGGGGCCTTGGGAGTTGCTCTAAGTAGTCCATATTGGTTGCATATACAGCCTGCAGGGCATCCCTGTGTTGTGGGAGGAGGGGTAGAAAAACAGGATTGGAAGCATCTAACAGCACTACATTTTTCCTTTGTAGGTTATATAGAGGATACCAGGAAAGAAAGAGAGAAGGCAGTAATTAAGAATGACACAGTGTGAAGCTTTCAAAAGTCCAGAGTCTCATTTGAGTTCACCTTTAAAGACATAAGCTCAGTTTCAGCAGCTCTCCTTTTTTTGAGTGTCTGAAGGTGGCTGTCAGCTGAGCATTGTGCCAACCTAGTTCTGTGCATACTAGTATAAAGAACAGGATTCTTGAGTCCTAGAGGTCATAGGCTTTCTTTTTTTTTTTTTTGAGGGGGGAAAGGTGGCTTCCTGGAAATGGTGTTAGGAGGAGGCAGTTGGTTTGTTGACCACGGGATTACTGATTCTTCTTGTGTAGTCATAGTATGACACAAGGAAAATACTCACTTTGTAATGGAAGCTTCCAGAGGGGCTTTCAGTGTACAATGACTCGTTTAATACAGAACAGATTTATGTGTGAATACTCTTTGCAGATGTGTTAAAGGAAGAACATTAATTTGAACTAAAAGATGAGGAAAACCCCCATATTTTTATTAGTACTTACATTTAGGCTTGTGTTCTATAATTACGAAACAGGGAGTAATTGCCTACCTCACTGTAAGAGACTTGTTTGAATGCTTATGTTATAGAATACCTGGGAATGAAAAACTTAAAAATGGCACCTAGAGTTTTAATTCTTAAAGCAGCCTTTTAGGTAGCTCACTTTTGTATCAGATTTTGCTTGGAAACCAAGAAATGAACTACTTTGAGAGTTCTCTGTAACTGGCAGCTTATTGCAGCAGTACTTGAACAGAGGTGTGGCTGTGCTTTCCTGAAGCTATAGAAACGAAGACAAGTTTTTAATGAAGTGGTAATAATTTCTTGTTTGTTTCTAGGTTGTTTTTATTAGCTGTTCTCAGGGAAGCAGTATTAGTTATCTTGAAAGAAACAGTAGCTCCAGCAGTGTTCCAGTGCAGTCTCAAAACAACGTCTGATGTGTTCTGAACTACTTCTGCCGAGGGCGATGAGTAAAAACCAAATGCGCATACTTCTCTGAGACGGAAACCTTAGGGGAGGGGATTTGCCCAAAGGCCAGTCTGATGCAAGCTGTGCGTTAATCTGGAAGGAAAGGGGAGGGAAAAGAGCTGTAGGAAGGGGAGACTGGGTAAAAACGGGCATGTAGTTTACATTTTATGGTCACAGCTTACCAGGGAGAGTAACAATTTCTACTGAACTACAATTCGCTCCTTTAATGAGGATATTTCAGTTGGCTGGACGTTATCCAGCAGTTACCCAGCAGTTAGAGTTGTGGTTCTGACTTGCCGTGGAAGCCTGTCTGTGCATGTATATGTGGTCTGAGCCTTTGCGAAGACCTGTTATTTAAACACTGTTGTTTACCTTTAGCCTACAAAGGGACTGACAGGATTTCAAGGGTATTTAGGGGAGAAAGGAGAGGGATACTAACAGTGTAATAGATCAGAGTATGCATTAATGTCATAGCTGAAACAGTTGAAGTGGTGCCCATGCTGAAAGATGATCCTGCACCTTTTCTCAGCTGTTCATTCTTGCTTCTGTAAGTGGGCGGGGGTTGGGGGGGGGAGAAGTAGTAGTGAGGAATGGATCTAACATAAGCCTAATTGTAATGGATGGCTTTCTAATGTGAATGTTCATTGTGTGGATTCACAAATGCTTCTGTTTGAAAAGGAGTAGAAAGAAGCAGCTGCTGGGAAAATGGAGATGTGCAGGTTTTTATTGTTAGTGAAGTTAGGTATGCTTTTTCTCACCAAAGATACAATTATTAGGGAATTTTGACAGGCAGCTCTTAAAGGCTAGTGTAACTAGAATCACTGCTGGGGTATTCAATGAAGAATTGTTCCTACAGAATGAGTTCTGAGCTAGTTATAAAATGTGATACTTGTGGGTCACAGTGGTCACTAGTCAAATGAATTTGCATTATTTGCATGTAGTAAAGGAGGTCTTAGTGACTGACAACTGATCAGTTTATCCACCTGGGTATGGAAAAACTGTGTTCAACACTCGAACAGCAGACAACAGGAACTTCCTTTGCACACCACTTCAGGCTTTGTGTTACAATGAGCCCTTCTGAAAAAGTTGTGACTGGTAAGGTTTTTCTTTAGGAGGAAAACAGGTTATTGGCTGGTCCTACAATTCTTAACAGTTGAGTTCCTCACTTAAAGGAGCAACTTTAAAGCTGTTGTGTGGCCTCCTAATCCTGGGATTAGTGGGAATTTGCACCAGGTTCAGCTCATTGCTATGACCTTTGGGTAGTGAAGTGGGGCAGTGGTTTGTTTTCTCCTTCTAGCTTGACCTTGTTATTTGAAGTAGTCTTTCTGATGAACTTCTGGTTGCTTTGGAGAGCAGTACTAAACTCCGTGTAGTTACTTTCATAAGTGAGATAGTGCTCAGACCCAATTATAATGCAGCACAAGCCCTATCAGTAACAATTTGATGAAGATGCTGAAAATAACCAATGGTTCCTGAGTAATATAAGATTTTTGAGGATCTCTAGGAAGAAAATGGGGGAAAATACTGCCATTTTTGGAGACTTGGGCTGTGCTAGAGTTGGGAAGTTACTGAATTGTGGGCTCCAGCACCCCAGAAGTGCAGCTGAAGGTGCTCCTGTCACAGAAGGTGTTTGTGTTTCTTGTAAGCTTAGAAGCTAAGCAAATCTTAGCTGCTATATTTGTGTGCTTATTAAGTGTTGCACAAAAGAAGTCCCTTATCTCTGCTGAAAATTCTTGTTGTGACTGCTCTGTCTGCAAGCTTGTTAATATTGCATGGTCATGCAGTGGATATTACTCAAAAGTAGAAATGCAGCTTGATTGCAGCAGTATATTGTGTCTCTTCAAAGGTTTAGCTTTTGAGGACTGCTGTAGTCCTATTCAGCGTGGTCTGTTAGGGCTCAGAGAGTTTCAGAAGTACTCAACAGGATGAGAGAGCTGGGGTTTTTGAACATGGAGAAGAGAAGGCTCTTGAGGAGACCT